GATTTCAAGTTGTTTGTACATTTACATGCTGAAATATTCTCTACGTGGTTTATATGTACAACCAGGGCCGGATTTCCCAATAGGCCCGGTAGGCCCGGGCCTATGGGCGCAAGATCCCAGAGGGCGCACGGCCGAGAGGAAATTTTTTATACCTAGGCTATTCAAAAATAAAAAAAATAGTCATAGTTGATAAAAAAAACTCCAAAGCATTGTGATTCTGAAGTTAATAAGAAGAAATAATTGTTAAGAAATTTAAACAATTTTTCAGAATTACGCATCAATTTCGTTACAAATTCGGTAACGAACATTGGTTATACGGGAGTAGGCTGTAGGGATGTTGACGTTGACAAGCGCCCAAGGGGTATGCATCTTATTGCCCCTGCACTGCCAATATGCTGGCTCGGGCTCGGCACTACTAATCTGTGATTAGAGGCGCATGCGTGCTAGACATTGTTACCACCCTCACCTCACAAAACAAAAGTTATTAACTAATCTTTTGATTAGTTTACTACAATCTGCAGTATCAAGTTAAAATATATAATACGTTGTGTTGAATATTAAAACAAAATAATATAAATCTCAGTTTGCATTAGATTTTAGAAAAATTCAATACCCTCCAAAGCACCATTAATGCTGTCATTTTCTCCTTAGATGTAAGGATCGGTATGGTCTGCCGGAATATTGCTCTGTTTTGCTTTGGAAATATAACCTAGATACAGTAGTACGACCATAGAGTAATATATAATTGTTAATTCAAAAAATTTTCAAGTCTAGTTCATGTTGGTGACACTAGACGTTAGTTTTGACGTAATTTTGTTTCTATTATTTTAGGGTTAGTTCTATAATGTGTGTTTTAATTTCTTGTAATATAAACAGGAGACGACCTGTTGTTGATGATTATATCGTTTTATTTTGGTTGGAAAAACTAGGTTTAAACATAGATAAAACATACTCCATTAAAAAACAACAAGCCATCATCAATTGTTATTTAACAAGAATTGTTTTCAGCTAATCCAAAATTATGACAAATCTACTAAAGGAGTGTATGTTTAATCTATGGCATCACGTACTGTATGGAGTTCATATCTTTGAGCCTGGAATTGGAATCAATGGCCATGTTTTTTTGCAGGAATGCTCGGTGGGCTGAGTTGTTTTGTTTCAGTCCCACGGCCACAACCGTGAGCATTATTAAAAGCATAAAATTGCTAAAAGTGTTTAAGACGGCATTTTGTTAAGGCTAAACAAGTCAATTCTTAAAAAAAGAACTTGCAATGATTCCAACGAGGAGTTGTATTCAAGCAATTAACTTAGGCCTATGGGCATGATATAGTTTTTAATAAAGGTTTGAAGGAAAGTAACTGTGACCAGACTAGGGGGCGGAAAATTATTTGGGCCTAGGGGCGCAAAAATGCTAAATCCGGCCCTGTGTACAACGTTTATTATATATACATTTAAATTGTTAGTGCTAAGGATATGACATTCCTGTATATGGGGTTTAAAATAGTTCAATGTGTGGACCTATATTTAAATAAAAATGAATCCCTTTTTGATGGTATTCCATAAGTCGAGAACAAGTGCGCCGAATTGGATGATTCCTTTTTGTGCTCCTTAGTGCCAGGGGAAGGTTTCTATGCAAGGACAATCCATCCAACCGTTACGGCATTTAGTAATTTCATTTTAAAAATTAGGGTGAGCGAACGAACTTCAATCAGGCAGCGATTGAGCGACGCGAACGAGCTCATCTTGAAAATGAACGAGCATTTGACATAAAACCACGTTAGGACAGGACTACGTCTGTCGGGCCAGCTAGTTTTATATAATGTCACTTAGTACAGGAAAAATAGTAAATAAAAATGAAAAAATTAGTTCATGGATGAAACTTTGGTTTAAACTTCGTTTTACCAATAGAAGTCAAGATCCGATGAGTCCCTAACAGTCCCGATGGGGGAACATAGTTTTTAGGGGGTGGGGAGGAGTTATTTTGAAATAATTCATTATTCACGATTTGAAGTCATTTAGGAAGTCGTTTTTATGGTTTGTATACACGGTGAATCGATAGGAACCATATTTAGGTCGATAGAACCACCTCCATAAGAGATTTAGCATATTGGTACATGTTTAGTTGTCATTTTTTCTAGGAGGGGTAGGGGGAATTTTTAATAATTTATGATTTTCGACTTATGACTTGTTGGGTGACGTTTTCAATGGATTTCTACGTGCCAAATAGAATGGAACCACACTATTTTGTCGATATAACTACATTATTAACAGATTTGGAGTGCTATCTGAAATAAAATAAGTGTTTGTGCACAAAATTAATTATTTAATATTTAAACATAAAAAATAAAACAATTAACTTACTGTAACATCAAGTATTAATTGAATGAGTTTATTTTTACAATACATTTAATTTTTCCTATTATAATTAAATACCCCCTCACAGCAAACCTGCAGACCAAGCAAATTTTTTATTTACCTGACAGGATTACTATTTATTTTCTATTTAAATAACATTAATTTTAATGAGTCATTAGGTTTGCTGCTAGAGGTGAGGTAATATGGGTTGTTTTTATTGAAATGTTGATAGCTTAGTAAAAAATAAACAAAATTGCCAAGTTTGGTTTAAATATATCCACAAACAAGCGAACTACAACAGTTTATTTATTTTCCATCAGAATAACATGGGAATTTTAAATTTAAATTTTTTTAATTATCTCCTTAACCTTAAAGGATAAGAATCCTTAAGGATAAGAAGTCGGTGAAAAATTGCTTTAATTTTTACGGAAAGTAAATAAAAGAAACGTAAATAAAAAGAAACTCATTTAATAAAAAAATTTAAGTACTTTTTTACAATGTAATGATGGAATGAAAATTTTTACAGTGTATGGTTTGTATATTTTTAAAACTATTCAGCATGTTTATAAAGATAAAAACACTGAAGTATCCAATAAATACAACACAAGGTGGAAAAATCTTACTGTAAAAAGTCATCATCGGCTGAAACTTTCAAAAATGAAACCTTCGTATATCGACAATTTATTCATAAGAAGTTTGCCTGCCTTACTAAAAAGATATCAAAACAAACCCAATTTTTTAAAGAAATTAAAATCATTCTTAATTAATCTGGCTCCTTATAGTATAGATGAGTTTCTAAATCAAAAATGAATTAGCTACACATTCTAAAATAATTGTAAAATTGTATGGTTAAGTCTTTTAGATTAAGTTGTATAACCAATTTTGTATGCGTTGACCAAACACAAAACATTTATTCATGTATTTAAAATGTATAAAGTGAATAAAGATAATTTGATTTGATTTGATTTGAACCGTTAGGCGTACAACCAGGCATATACTAAACTATTTAATCTTTTAAGCTCTAGAAAGTGGTTTGGAAAGAAATTGTGAAATTCTTTGTTGATGAGGTCAAAATGGGAAAACCCAATTTTCTCCCCATAAAAATCCCCATAAACCCCTGTTCCCATAGTCCAATCATGCTGGTTCGCAAACTTGTTTGAATAAATTTAGGTTTACACGTTTGTACCAAATTACATCAAAATCGGATAATTTGTGCTCGAGTTATCACGCTAAACGGACACATATGTATATGAATTTGAAAGGATGGTGTTTTTGAGTTCTAGGGACCTCAAAACAAAAATGTAAATTGGTCACGGGTCTAAGTCTTACAATGAGACCTACGGTAATAGCTTATTCCCTATATGGGAAATTCGCTAAAAACCTCGTTGTAACTTAGAATGTATTCCTTTGACTTGCTGAAGGATATAAAAACAGTATACATATGTACAAAACATATAAAACATATATACAAACTTTGTAGGGGCTACGCAAAGGTTAATAGATATTTACTTGAACTTTAAATCATAAAACATGGTTTAAACCCTGACTTAATGTCAATGTATTATAATGTATTATGTATATATATTATATGGGTTTATGGAGACTTTTGTGGGGAGAAAATTGGGTTTTCCCATTTTTGACCCCACCAACAAAGAATTTCACAATTTCTTTCCAAACCACTTACTAGAGCTTAAAAGATTTAATAATTTAGTATATGCCTTGTTGTACGCCTAACGGTTAAGGAGATAATTTAAAAAAATTAAATTTAAAATTCCCATGTTATTCTAATGGAAAATAAATAAACTGTTGTAGATAAATAAACTTGTTTTTGGATATATTTAAACCAAACTTGGCAATTTTGTTTATTGCATACTAAGCTATCAACATTTTAATAAAAACAACCCCCATTACATCCCTGTAGCAGCAAACCTAATTATTAATTAAAAGTAATGTTATTAAAATAGGAAATAAATCTGACAGTTTCAAGGACAAATTTTAGTAGAAATCCTGCCAGATAAATGGAAATTCGCCTGGTCTGCAGGTTTGCTGCGGCGAGGGTATTTTTTAAAATAGGGAAAATATAATTTATTGTAAAAATAAACTCATTCAATTAATACTTGATGTTTGGATAATAGTTTTAATTTTTATGTTTAAATTTTAAATAATTAATTTTGTGCACAAACATTTATTTTATTTCAGTCAGATAGCACTCCAAATCTGTTAATAATGTAGTTATATCGACAAAATAGTGGTTCCATTCTATTTGGCATGTAGAAATACATTGTAACCGACACCCAACAAGTCATAAGTCAAAAATCATAAAATATTAAAAATTCCCCCTACCCCTCCTAGAAAAAATAACAACTAAACATGTACCAATATGCTAAATCTCTTATGGCGGTGGTTCTATCGACCTAAATATGGTTCCTATCGATTCACCGTGTATACAAACCTTAAAAACGACTTCCTAAATGACTTCAAATCGTGAATAATGAATTATATCAAAATTCCCCCTCCCCACCCCTAAAAACTATGTTCCCCCATCGGGACTGTTAGGGACTCATCGGGTCTTGACTTCTATTGGTAAAACGAAGGTAAAACCAAAATTTCATCCCTGAACTAATTTTTTTGTTTTTTTGGTGAATTTTAATCTATTTTGCCTGTACTAACTGTATTAAGAGCAAAATAGAGAGTGTTTGGAAATATCTTTTAGTATCGAAGATAAGAATTTTAGTTTGGGTATGGTAGAATTAGGGGATAACATTCTCAATTACATTGATGTTTCTTAGTTTACTCCAGAAACAACACACTATAAAGAGGAAATGTTAACTCCCTGTGACAAATATTAACACTGAAAATCTTATTGACAGTAAAAAGCACAACTCCAAAAGACAAGGACTCAAAACCGACCCGCAGTTTTACCCTTGGAGCTTCACACACGTATCACAATATTCAGTTTTCAGTTCGACTTTCTAAAATATGTCTCGCATTATTTTTACAAATCATAATTTTTCCTTATCTATAAAATGGTGCGTTGTACGGGCTTTACAAACCAACAGTTGATTATTGTATAGAAATTTCTGTATACATCATCAATAATATTTCACAACAATACAATATTACAAAATATAGTTGCATCTCGTTGAATCTTCGTTAACTGGGAATAAATTCAAATTCTCTTACACGGCTTTGAATCTCAAGTAGTTCAGATGTTTCCGTTGTACGTAAACAATTTTCCAATTTGTATTTATATTGGTGTTTTTTACTTACTTAAGCTTAAAATACAAACTTTTGTATACATTTTCAAATAAAAATTATAATTGATATAAAGTGTATTCAAGGATATGAGAGTAATATGTACAACAGTATGAATTAATCCGAAGGGTTTTATAAACTACCTCTCGTATTCTACTTTATACAAAATGATACACGATCGCAACACTGCACAAGTCTATCGATTATCACCCGAGGAGTTGGATGCATTGAAACTCCTACTGATGTGGATAACATTGTATATCTTGATTGAGATAGTGGCGTACGCACTTAATGTATTCTTCAGTCACACACAAACTGTTTCTTGAATATTTCAAGGTGATTCTTAAAACCTACCTTTTCGTATTGCTCTTCACCCTTAAAGTATTGCTAGATAGTAACAAATGACCCGGTAAATAAACATCTTTTACTATTGGAACTATATATTGCTTTCATCTAAAATATTGTTCACATATCACCAGGAAATATTTCTTATTATACAGGTCCGATATAGTATGGCAGATACTGTCGATGTCAATCAAGAATAAATTTAGAAGTAAAAGATATTAGTTTGGTAAGACGTTTAATGCAATAGTAAAAGTATTCTCAGTTGTAAAGCACTTCCTTAAACCGGGACAGATAACTTCATCCGGAAACTTTTTAAAGTATATAATATTTGAAAAGATATAAATCAACAAAACAGCTGTCCACAAGTGACGAGTGGAACTGACAAGCTATATAACCAGAGATAGAATTTTACCATAGATTATTTTATAATATAAATGTTCTTTAGTATAGTGGAGCTTAGGTAGTTAAGGTAAATCCCGAGATTGCTTAATGTTAGGCGTGTGACATCTGATATAGGACACTGCCTTTCAGAAAATAGTAAGATATGAAAGTGACAAAACGTTACTAAGGGGAAGATTGTAGTTCCACAAGATAACAGTAAGATAGATAGGGTAAAGTTGACAGAGATGTTGGAGATAGAATCGGAAGAGATGACAGTAGAACTCCGTTGTACAGCGAGCGGGTCACGGCGAGTCGTTGGAGTCCGACCCCAGAGTCTGGATGGGGAAGAGTGGATACCATCCCAGAGTCACTTGAGTCAGCTTGATGCGGTTGAAAGCGATTTCTGCTCCTCCCAGACCGACGTTGTGCTCAAATCCTTTTTGTTTCTCCCACAGCATAACCACTGGAAAGAACTCTTTGTTAATGTTAAAATTCAAATAATTTTATGAAAGAATATTTTTCTATGTTTGTAGTAAAAATTGAGAGATTTGGACGGTAATTTTTCTAGTTAACACTTTACGTCTTTAATATTCCAATTAATTGGTACTAGATTACCGTAGTAGGGACACAAATGTTTCAAAACGACAGTGATCCTATGACAGGTTAGTGAAAAAAGCTGAAAATTGGAAAAGGCTATGAAATAGAATATAATTGATTCCAATAATATCTATAAGAACAGTTAAAAAGTGCGATATAGATATACGAACATAATTAGAACATTGGTTTTTAAGCTCGACAGCATATAAAAATAAAATTTTGCTCTTGAAAAAAATTTAAAATCCAAGTATCAAATTTTTTTATTAAAATGACGATACTACAAAACCATGAAAGACATTCCTCTAACTAATTGATTGAATACTAGGAGATAGGGGAATTTCCTGGAGGTCCTTCGATAACCAAACCACCATGCCCTTGTGGCTTACCCAGGGAACGGCCCAGTACGTCGCATGCAGAGTATCTGAGGGTTTGGCGGAACTGAGGCTCGCACGAGTGTCTTACAACCCTTGTCTTACGTTTCTGCAACCATCGTTCCCCGTCCCGTAGATACGTCTTCACATATGTATCTGAAACACAGACACAGCCATAGTGAATGTCCAGACTAATCATTTTGTTGGTCTGTGTATCATGGTGTAATCGACATGGTTCTAAAAAGCTACTGAAGTGTCAAAATATAGCCTAGACAATTGTAATTTATTAATTGTTTAGACAAATAAAAAGTAAATTATTAACTCTTTTTCATTAAGACTTTTTATTAACTGTATGACTCTGGTAACATAGCTCAACAGTTATATAAGAAAAAAGTGACTTTGTGACTTCGTCTCACGCAGGAACAACCGTGCTTGTCTGGTAAATACTTTTTGACGAGTGACGTACGATTTATATCAATGGACTAACTATATACACAAACAGTGGACTAACTTACATTGATAAATAACTGACAAAATCCGCTATGTAATATGTTCTAACCAGTGAGTAGTATGGGAAAGTCATTTACTAGTAAGGTTAAATTGTTTTATAAAAAATATAATCAGTGGCCAATTTGTTCAAATATGCTATTCCCTTTTAACAAATATAAGACACGTTTTGTGGAATATGTTACGGTACCAGGAAAGATCTCTCAACTTTTTAAAAGGGCCTGTTCTCTAGGTCGTTATTAATAAAAAAAACATAAGACACATTTCCCCAAATATCTCAGGACGGCTTTGACTAGTTAACACTGTTCTAAAACTATTAAACGTTTATTAACTTATCAGGAAACAATCTAAAACATATGTTACGTGGTTTTTAATAAATTGTTTGATAACTATAATATTTTACTTTTCATGGGCATTTTCAAGCTTTTAGCAGAAAGTGACCAACCCCTACCTGGTGGTGGATCCTCCTTGATTCCTCGAGCACACACAACCTCCACTTCCAATTGTCCCTTGGTCATCAAAAGACTCAGTTTTAACTCAGCTTGATTTCCTAAGAAAAATATAAAGTAAATGGTATTTTGTCCAGATAAAGTACGCCTTCAAAACGTTTTCGAGGTTGTTGGACAAACAGTTTCTTTATCATTTAAAGTTTGCAATGTTATGTTCAAGATTGGAAGACAGTTCAGTGTGGGACAAAGGGTGCAAGCAAGGAACTACGCATCCAAAGAAAAGTGGACATTAGGAGTGATCATCAGTCGAGTGGGCAACGTCATGTACAAAATAAAAATGTACAATGGATTGCTTTGGACCAGACACTGACCAGATACTCCCTAAGAAATAAGAGGGGAGTGTTTATATACAGGGTGAATTTTAAATGAGTTCCCCCCCCTACTTTTTTCTGCATTTCTTAAGATATCATCTCCGGACCACGTCAGATCATTGTTGAGTAGTAAGTACTTTATTTTGACTGGGTATACATTTTTGGCCGCCATCTTGGATCCGCCATATTGGATACAAAGTTTTTTTTTTCAAATGTAAAGGTAGGGTTGTGACCCATTATTTCAAACCAGAGTTTTACGCTGATTACAATGCCGCAATTATTTTTTTAAAAATCTTGATCCGTTCTAAAGTTATGAGGACTTTTTATAACTTTATTTTTAGCGCATTTTAACATTGTGCATTTACAAACTAAGGCCATAATCTCAAAATAGTGCTAGATAAAGATAAGTATACACCACCATTCATTGCCGACATATTTTCACTTGGTTATGACGGATGTAGTTTTTTCAGCCGCCATCTTGGATCCGCCATTTTGAAATGTGATCAATTAATTTAAATATGAAGTTGGTGTTGTGACCCATCATTTTGAACAACTTTTTTATACTGGACTCAATGCTGCAATCCGTTTTTGGTTATCAAGCTGTCTTGATGAAATATTAAAATAGTCTTATTTAAAATTTCAATATTTCAAAAACCAAAGATGCAAATGAAAAACGGATTGCGGCATTGAGTTCAGCATAAAAAGGTAGCTCAAAATGATGGTTCACAACACCACCTTCATATTTAAATTAATTGATCACATTTCAAAATGGCGGATCCAAGATAGCGGCTGAAAAAACTACATCCGTCATAACCAAGTGAAAATATGTCGGCAATGAATAGTGGTGTATACTTATCTTTATCTAGCACTATTATGAGATTATGGTCTTAGTTTGTAAATGCACAATGTTAAAATGCGTTAAAAATAAAGTTATAAAAAGTCCTCATAACTTTAGAACGGATCAAGATTTTTAAAAAATTAATTGCGGCATTGTAATCAGCGTAAATCTCTGGTTTGAAATAATGGGTCACAACCCTACCTTTTACATTTGAAAAAAAAACTTTGTATCCAATATGGCGGATCCAAGATGGCGGCCAAAAATGTATACCCAGTCAAAATGAAGTACTTACTACTCAACAATGATCTGACGTGGTCCGGAGATGATAACTTAAGAAATGTAGAAAAAAGTAGGGGGGGGGGAACTCATTTAAAATTCATCCTGTATATTTAATAAACAAACTGTAAATTGTTGTATTGTTATTCTACATTTCAATGTATAGCATCACTATTATGTACAACATTGACATGGTGTGACTGGGGCTTTACCTGCAGACTTCTTGTGACCTCTTGGCTGTATCTGTCCCGGCCCCAAGGGTTTAGCTTCAGACTTTGTACTGGAACAAAACATATAAATGTTAATGTCAGATTTATAAGTGGTGATGCAATTGTAAGGTAGAAGCAAAAATACGGTTGAATAGTTAAGTTTTACGGTGTTATAATCATGCAATCGTAAATTTTCTGCAGAACCATGAGGATAAATTCAAATTATCCTTTTCTCTTAAAATACCTTAGTGGAATAGTGGGTTGGTAGTTGGGATATTACATTGTAAGGTGTCAACCAAACAGACGGTTTAATAACCATTGTTTTGTGTGCACATAAGCATTTATGATTGTGTAATGTAAAAAAACTGTACAATAAAGCACATTCCATTCATTCATTCATATTGTAGACGAGAGGTGTTATTAAAGTATGCTGAGAATTTTGTTAAGCTACCTGTTGTGCCGACCTAAATAAAACTGTTAACTGGACTAGGGTACTTGATCTGGAAATCAGTTTGATATAACTAGTGAGGTGGTATAGGGTGAACAGGGGTCTTGATGAGAAAGCTTTTTTAGTCTTGGGTCCGGGTGAAATAATCTTCTAATTAGAGTTTAAAGTCATTTTGATATTGGTGTACTACTGAACGTATTAAAAATTTTCCTCTATTTAACATTTTGGTTTCGTCGTTCTTTTTCATGTATCTTTTGGGATAAGAATAAAGTTGGTAATGAGAGTTTTGATTTGCCCCAGCCTACACGTTTTCCAAAGATTTCAAGATTTCACAAACTCAAGTTACACTCGAGATTTACTCAGGTTACACAGATATGCTTAGGTTTACTGATTATTTCTAGAGTATCATGCAGGGCTTTGCTGTTCACCTCCATCTGTCCTCCTCATCAGAAGGGCTGCTGCAGCTCACTAAGGGCTCAGTCCTCTCCATCCCCACCATCATTGAACCTTTCCTCCCTCTCCCGTCCTTGCCCGCCGAAGCTCCTACAGGAACAATATCACGTGTATTTCAACTGGATTGTAAATACATAATTGTTATGGCTAACCAATCAATTTATACATTTGACACGTGTTGCACATTTTAATGGCACTTATTGGTAGACATTTATGTTTTGAGTATCTTGCAGCTTAACTAACTTCTACTTAAAAGGTACATTTCTGTGTTCATTGTAAGTTTTTACGACTGTGATAATTCTTTATTTCACTAGACAATTACTTGAAATAGCTTTTAGAAGTACCTTTATTGATTTTTACTTTCTCCCCCTATACCATAGTATATGGAGAAAGTATTGTTTTCGTCAAAATTTTCGAGTTTGAGTTTTGAGTGGATATATTCGTTTTGGGCCCCCCTGGGCCCAAAAAAGTGGTTTTCGGAGTGATGTCTGTGTGTGTGTGTGTCTGTGTGTCTGGATGTGTACAGAGCTAGGGACTACACCTGTGGTCCGATTTCGATGAAATTTGGTATGTAGGTTCTAATCCATGGTATCTCCAGGCGTTTTTTTTTCATTTTTTTTGAAATTTTGATTTTTAATGGGGATTTTCCCAAAAAACCCATAAAAAACCGGAAAAATCGGATTTTCTCAAAAATGGACCGAACGATTTTGATCAAAATTTAGAATGTTGTAGCCCTTTAAATTCTGAACAAAGTGGTACAAATTCCATTTCTGTAAAAATTATGGTACAAAAGTTATGGTAAATTATGTTATTTTCCCATAAAAACCCCATAAAATAACGAAAAATAGGATTTTAGAAAAAAATCCGGTTTTATTTTAACATAGTATGTTATGGTCCTTAAAGTTTTGATAGTTTTTTCATTTTTAAAATATTTTTTTTTTTAATGGGAATTTTCCCATAAAGCCCCATAAAATAACGGAAAAATAGGATTTCCCAAAAAACGGCCCAAACGATTTTGATAAAAATTTTGTATGTTATAGTCCTTTATATTCTGAAAAAAATGGTACAAATCCCATTTCTGTAAAAAATATGGTTCAAAAGTTATTGTAAATTATGTTATTTTCCCATAAAAACCCCATAAAATAACGAAAAAATCGGATTTTCACAAAAATGGCCCGAACAATTTTGATAAAAATTTAGTATGTAGTTCTTTAAATTCTGAACAAAATTGTACTAATCCCATTTCCGTATATTTACTCTCACCGCTTACACATGATAAAGGTTGTTGACAAAGTTATGGGAGAAAGTATGTGTCAGAATGCTGATACCGTTTATTGTTGTAATTGTTGGTTTGAGTAATAGAGATTTTGAATAATAAAACTTTTTGAATGAAGTTTACTATGAAATTTCATGTATTTGTAACGCAAGGTCGCAGGTCTAAGAACTATTCTACACACTTTTTAGGGTTGAAGCCCATATATCGACTCTAAAAAACACTGCTACAACTAACTATAAAACCGTCTACAAGGGTTTCTATCAGGAGCTTTATGTATTCATCATTCCCATAGACATAACTTTCTAATGATCTAACAGTTTATTATTTCAAACAAAGAAAATATACAAATATTGCACACTGAAAAAGCACACACATGTCAAACATGCTGGCCAATCTCCTAAAGCCACAAAAGTCCACTTACGTCATAAATAATTTTAAGTAGGCTGAACAATATTTTTAAGTACACCTTTTTAGCGAATTTCTATTTGACGTTTCGTCAAAAACTCATTTACCTTCCTCGTAGCAGCAAACCTAACCACTCGTTAAATATAATGTTATTTAAATTGGGAATAAATATGTCTTATTTATGGAAATATTTTAGTAAAAATTAGCTTAGTCTACAGGTTTGCTGCGGCGGGGATATATTTATCGTTTTGTTTGCAAACTCCTGGGTAAGCAGATTGAGAATATAAACATTTGTTGTGTTGTTGGTAAAAATCTGTTTAGATAAAATTAACAACAATATAAAACCAAATCAAAGGACTATTCACTGTATAACAATAAAACAACAAAAATCTAAATAAATGTGTTATTTAGTATCTTAAAAATAGTTAAGGGTTCAGGATAGCGCAGTGTTGATAATATTGTTTAAAATTTACAACATTAAATAGGCCTTTATTACTGTACTAAGAGATATGCCTAGCTGTGCATTATGGTTTATCATCTTTAACCCAATAATTTATAATCGTACGAGATTGTACACCAAAACAATTTACATAATAAACTAACAATAAATTGGTTTCAATTTTAAAGCTTGCTAGATTTAGTTTTATTTATGGAAATTTTAAGACAAAGATGTTTATAACGATGACGATTTTATAATTATGACGAATAATGTGTAGACATATTTTTTATTACATAGTGTTTTTGCTTACGAATATACATGTAAAACAATTTTTTTTCTTTTCCAACTAAAGCATTTTCCATAATTATCAGTTTTATCATATTTTGGTCTTGATGCAAGTTTTGAGTTATGTTTTAAAATTAAATTTATATATTACTTCAATTTATATGAATCTTTATATAAATCTGATACAATTATGTGTTCAGGTCCTTGCTAAATATTTATGAATGATTACGGAAATAATGCTAGTTATAGTTAAAATTATTTTTTTCAGTGGACTTAATGTTATACACACACCAACACAGGAGTAACCAGTAAGTAATACTTTTAAATACATTAAACATACAAATGGTATGATCACAACAATAGACGAATTATTCCACAGTCACATTTATTTTATAGTGAGATATAAAACTAAACAAATTATGCAATTCAATAAGTTACACCATACGAATTAAAATGTGTGGTGTAATTAAAACTTCTTACAATCTAAAAATATAAAGTTTTGACTACTTAACAAAAATATTCATTGTACTAGTATTGTGTGTATAGGGATTAGAAAGACGAGTCAACTACCATGATGACATCAACGATTGCAATATAAGATCGCTTCTCAACTGTGGAATACATCGTCTCACTCAGCGTATGTACAGATAGCCTAGATGTGTAGAGATGTGTTATTTGTCCAGTGTCACTTACCATCTTACTACTTTTTGTCTGCAGCTAAAGAGAGAAAGATAGATAGACAGATTAGGGTGGGGGAAGAGTAGAGAGAGAAATTGTGTTGGTAAGTGGGGACGAGCAGATAGATAGGGACCATTTCAATCAAACAGAAATTAACACATTCAAAGAAGGATTCAGTCTAAGAAACCAGAAAATTGTGTACACATAGGGGAAAAAATAATTTGCAACATTCATTTGGGTTGGAAATGAGAATGTTATGTAATTGAGTTTCTTGTTATAATAAAGTTTTATAAACACATTGTATTCATTTTATTTAATTCACTTTGCTCCATTAGTAGTCTAATAGGAACCAAAATTTTAAAATTTATAAGTTGACAACAAATGTATTTTTTTTTTCATAATAACCTAACACAAGACTCGTTGGCATTACGTGTGTAAACACATTACCATACTATGCCTTACAGATTTTTTTGTGTATCCAATTTATTTTGCTAATGTGTCCAAAAGTATTTAGCATATACCAACCTTTGCCTTAAAAAATTTTTAGTTAGAAAATTTGTATGCAGAGCCATATTTATTATACTTCAGGTTACATACCTAGCAGTGGACACATTGTACACATACTTTGAGGTACATCGCACTACCCATAAACAGCTAACAATTAAGTTTTCTTCCTTGTTATTAATTATTATTATAACTGTGCCATCATAGGTGAATTACTTACGTCGCTGGCCGCGCTTGTCCACACTGATGCTCATACTGCGACCGAGCAACTCTCCTTTTACAGCCTTCAAACTTCGTAAAATCTCGTCCGGGTCTCTCCTAGGCGTCACCGAGCTGCGCCTCCTCTCTCTGTTGTACACTGGCAGTGGTTGTTCTGCTTCTGTGTGATTAATAAAAGTAAGATTTTTCAGTTAACATCAGTACACAAACAAATCTCTGACCAATGATCATAGTTTTACAACTGGGCTTAGTCATATTAGGGAATCTGTGTCATGATAAAACATACATCGCAAACATGATGTTACTTTCCCGTGTTTTAAGCCTGCGGCAATCAAGTCTGTTGAAACTTCTTGGTAATCCTACTGTTGATGGATATAATATAACCTGGCCAATACTTAACAAGTAAGTTTAATCCATTATTAACTTGTGAGTTGCTACGATTAGATTATTTATTGTGCCTGCATCAACGATCTGAAACTACGATGGTGATACATGGTTTAATTGGTTTAATTTAAGTGTATTACCTTGTTTTTCGCCTTCTTTCTGGAAAGAGCTTCGCCTGCTGCCTGGCAAGGAGCGGGAGAAGTCCTTATTAAGCTGGTATTGCTCCACCTCTAGCTGTTCAGATTGACTAGAGCCCCTCCTGCTGCCCCCTAAGTACGCGTGGTCAGGATGCAAGAAGCTTCCTACACCATCACCGTCGTCACTTTCTCGCTCTTCTATAAAAGTAATAGAAAGGGTTGCCACCTTTGTCGTAGACATTGATAAAGATAATGCAATTGGCTTATTTTGTATTCTACAGGAATTAAAATGCATTCAGGAAATTTTGAGAGTAAATAATAGAACGTAGTCTTATGCACTAGCAAAAAAGCGTCAAATTACAGATATCTTTATGAAACCCATAGTGCACCTTTTTACGTGATTGAAAATATGATGAAAATTTAAATTTTAAATATAATGTAAATAAGCCACTGTAAGACGTGGTTAATTGCTTATTTTAATAACCTAAAAATATTTAATAGAGTTTATGCCTGAGTATTAGGCTTTAAATTATTTTGACACCATATACACAGCCACCTAGTCCAACCGAAAATATACAACCACCTACTCCTATCCTAATCTAACATAATTTACACCAAATATTCATAAGGCAAATTTTAATAATAGTATCCCTTTACTCTCGTAATTTTCGTCCTAAATAATTTCTGTTGAACCATGGTGTATTCTCGTAGCTACCTGAGACAGAGCGGTTGCCACGGGCCAGTAGCCTCTCATTTATGGCAGACACTAGCGAGCTACGAGGCGATGGTTTACCGGAGCGGATCTGCCGAGGGTCCTCCAGGCGATACCACACCGGACAGTCTTCCATCAGACTCTTGGTCAAGTCTACGGCGCTCTCTCCTGTACAGAATATTGGATATCATCTTTCTCCTTTGTTCGAATGCATTTCTCACGACTCCACATGCGTTTTTGTATAGTGGTAAATGCTGCAAGTGGTGAAATTCCTTACTCTAACATTTCACAGAAACATATTAAGTTTCTGATGCTCTTGGTGAAGACTGCGAAAAGCTCACTGAACGGAAAATTGTACTTCACCTTCGTTCTTTATTTGAACCATCTTAACGAGCATTTGCACTTACGATGATAAAATTATTAGATTGGTATGTTATATTTTCAAGACTAATGAAAATTATTAAATTTTGTAACTACTCGTAAAACTTCATAATGTATTAAAAAATCAACCAAAGATTTTGGAGCGATTTTCATTCCGTTACGAGCACTCCACAGGTGGACATAAACCATGCAATTATTGTTTGAGGCACTAAGGTGGACTACCATGATCAATTAAAAACAATTGATCAACAAACAATGAATTTGATCCCGATTTGATGAATGGTGATGAATATGAACAATAATTCTTCAAGTAACATTGACATTTAACTTCGCAAAAAATGAGCAGACAACAATAACACCAAACAAGTATTACAATTGCATTTTCACTATTTCATTGTGTTCTAGTGTACCAATGTACACAAGTTCAACAGTTTTAGCAGTCTCTTACCCAAAAACACCTGTTCCTTGTCTGGCCTAGCGTCCCACAGCGACACCTCGATGGTTTTGTCCATCAGCTGTTCTCCAGACACGTTCTTTATCTCCACAGTCGTGTTCCATAGAGGGTTTTGCGATGGTTCTGCCACATCTGTCTTTACAGCTGGCTGCTCTCCTCTAATGTGACAGTTTGATTATTCTACTATTTTATACACGCAAACTTGCAGAACATAAATACTTGGAAGACCTCAATCGAGTTCAAAAACGCTTCTATCAAATACGAACATAGTTTGCACGAATTCAATTTTGAATACGAAAAATAGGTCTAAAAGTTAAGTTTAGTATTAGTGTAGATCTGAATTTACTTTTCCCCTTTTTAACGTCCTGGCTTCACATCATAGGAAGACATGCTTTAACTCTGAACCGTTTAACACGTTGCTTTAGGATTGTCCTAGAGGTGTGCGTCATTATCACATGGGTAAAAACCATTAGTGATGGAATTCGGACCCAGGACTTCAGGGACCGAAGCCGTAAACCGAAGCCCATAAACCCAGATCTACCACTTGACCAGATCGCTCTCTAAAGTATTCTCAGTAAATAATTTGTATCAACTGGAAAATTACTCATTAGAGTTTAAGAACATATATGAGATAAAATGAGGGCCATAGCACATTAAAATATCATTCGAAAAAATTTATTTTGAATTTGGTGGTTTCAATTTGAGTCAACACTTGGGTTAATTTTATTGATCTTGTAGATAGCATGCACTCTTTTATTGAGATGATGTATGGAACTCAGGTTCATAATGCCAATGTTAAAAGACATAACTATAATTACATGGCGTTATCCTGTCAATGGAAATATCGAATACCAATAATTATTTGTTCAGGTGTTCTCAAAAGGTTTATGCCTCTAAGATAGGTTTCTAAATTAGTACATTTTGTTAGAGAATTGTACATCTGGGAAGTTTAAGACCTCCTTTCACACTGTGTTTTTAACTTTGTAAACAATATCTATCAAGCAAGCGTAGAACAGTTGCTTACGTGAACGGAAGAAGACGCAGCTGCACATAAGCTTCTGGCAGAGTTCCATAACCAGCATCTTCCCTGGCTGCAAGGTCGTCTGCAGCGAAGACACTCACAACGATCTCGTTCTTCTCGTCGTTATAGAAGACCTGCAGCTGTATCCGTCCACTAACTGCTACTGGAGGCTTCGGCTCTGCCTTCTCACTCTTCTCCCTAGCCAGTTGTTCCTGCCAAACCACCATCCACTACTCTCCTACCCTTGTCAAATTACCATCCACTACTCTCTTACCTTTGGCAACCCCCATCCACTTCTCTCCTAACCTTGGCAACCCCCATCCACTACTCTCCTACCCTTGGCAAACCACCATCCACTACTCTCCTACCCTTGGCAAACCCCCATCCACTACTCTTCTACCCTTGGCAAATCGTCATCACGATACCCTCAAAGTAAGTTGGAGTCCGAATACATTTAGCAAATGCTAAATTCCGAATGTGGGGCTTTCAACGGGTTTCGTCCAATTACAATAATCATGGGTATTTATACAGAACTTTCGATTAAGGTGGGTTTAATTTTATTGTGACAGAACATACTTAAAGTGACAATCCTATTTATCTTTACATAATTTTCACTACTCTGGAACTTATTAGCATATTTGACAAATTTTTAAATTATATGTATTAAGTGTGGTCTAAAACCCATAATGTCAACCAAATTACTACTATTCGAATCCATAGAACTTGTACAGACTATATTATAAAGCGTAATAGTTTAATAATGTGACCAATGCTCACTCTTGGACCCTACATCAACACGATAGGAAACCTCCAAAGAGTTGTACACGAGTCACAGCTAAACAACTGATCATATGATTCCAAAATTTTGTGATGGAATTTCTCTTCTCACTAATATTGACCTGTAATTCAATTTATAAAATTAGATTGTAACGTTTCAAAAGTATAAAACTGTTCAAACAATCTGAAGATTTAAATTTTATAAGGGTTAAAAATTAACTACTGAGGTTAAATTAAATTCAGGCCCGTTCTGGATTTCATTTCGTCCTTTAAGTTTTCCTACAATCCTAGGGCACTAAATGTTCCTTTTTTGTTTTGAAATAAAAATATATTTTAAACCCCAGCAGAGGTAACAGTATCAAAGTTACGATGCCAATACTCTAGTGTAATGTGTAGACTTACTTTAAATTTCATTTTAATCATTCCATGTACACTGTATGAGGTTGATTCCTTCCGCACTTCACAAACATGTGAACGAGCCAACCTATATTTGAATTTGTTAATCAATATTATAAAGGCATATACTTTAAGGGTGGATTTTGCAAAGCAAATGTTTACAATTGCTTTAAATAATACGAAAAACTCGCTTCGCTATGTTGCTTGTAACACCTACATTTACTACTTAAATATATAAACGTGTAATATTCATATGAGTAACCGGTATTACAGTTTACATTGTTTCATTGACATCAGGAAAATCCGTGATAAAAATTGATCAAATGTGATAGACTAAGTGACATTCAGTGCATGTTTAGCAATAAGAAACTACTGTTGGGTAAAGATAGGAGTGGCACATTGCAACATAGCATAAGCTGTGCAAGACAACATCAAAAGCAGCATGCATCAAACAAGCATTTTTACCAATCAAACGTAGAAAAGGCTCTCAAGAACGCTCGCCCTAACAATAATAAAATATTTAAGAGCATGATTTTGTATATCTCCATACATATGACTGTCATCACAATAGTCCAATAATACAAGCGACGAAAAGTTCGAAACTATTTACAACAGTTCCATTGAAGAGCCGTCTTCAGACCTTCGCATACTTCACTTGAATATGACAGATTACATCATGCCAGAAGACTCTATACACTGAATCTCTATACATTATACTCGTGCACCAGTACGACTAACGTACTAAATCAGGTTTGTATAGTCTTACTGATATATAATACATAGATTTTTATCGACAATAGAAGTTGACAAATAATACCATTAGACAACAAATGTTATGTGAACTGTTACTTAATGGATAAAAATACAAAAACATTATATTTACAAACAAATTAGAAATAAGTATTTTTTAGTTCAAAGTAATTGTACTATCTAGGATTAAATTTTATACTATTTATCATAACACCTATTGTAACAATTGTAGATTTTTTGGGTGGGAGTTTGATTTTAAGTGTTTTCTGGTGAGAGAATAAATAGTACCTTTAGCATAAAAATATCATTTAAGCAAATGGGATAAATTAAAATTGCGTTGAACAATTAAGTTTATTGATTTTGAGCCCATTCACGTATTGTGTTAAACTTGGTTTATAGATATACTGCAACATTATCTTATTCAGTGTAGTAATAAAGGGGTGCAAAATTAATAACAACGAAAATGACCTATTTTTGACAATGTACCTTCGTGAGATAGATACTTTAATGTGACTTTATTGACTTTATTATTGAAATTTGAATTGACTTTATTATTGTCTTTATAGAGAGGATTTATTGTGGATAATCGCAAGAATTGTGGAATTATTTAGTTGGGTTTTGATTGTTTGGTTCTGTAATATTTTTTGTGACACCTGTTGCATTGTGAGTTCTATGATGTTGCTTAAAAATACCTTTCTCTTAACAGGATAAACAGATAATTTACTGTACACTTAAACGTTCTACGATAATAAACGTCACAATCAAAACAACATAAAGATTTTACAATAGCTTTGTTAAGTATTTAAACAGATTTTAAACTGTTATTAATACTAATTCATACTAAAACTATTTCAATTTAAAAACAGGAAAAGAAAAACAGCTATATGTACAAATGTTGTAAATATTCATATACAACGATGGTGCGAAAATCAATCTTGTTGGTTTGGTGGAGTTTTATGAAGTTATTGTCGCCAGAATCACACTAAATTGTAGATTGGAATGTTCAACAAGAATGTGCTGCTACCTATCTGTGTGGAGTGAAACTAGATGCTTTATTCAACTAACCAGCACTCAAGTTGTGTTATATATCAATACAATCGGCGGAGGGAATATTTTTGTCCAAAAACAAAATCCATATTTTCATGTAATTAGAAGCGGATTTGATTTGGTATTGCATGCACAGAACATTACTTAAGTGTAGATAACAAAATTTAAAATTGCTAATTATTTAATGTTAAATCAGGCTTTTTGAGATCTTGGTGCGAAATGCAGGATCAAATGCTTTGGGTAGGTGTGTAAATTGTGCAGGGTTGAAATTCTTATTTTGAGATTTATTAATGTACAATTTGTTGTTTGTTAGTAAGTATAGCCAAAACTGTAGTTTACAAACAAAAAGGCAATCTAGAGAAATTCTAAATAGTACAGAATGCCAAACTAACATGCAGGGCTTCTACGGTGGCTATGTTCAATAAATGTTGCACAACATGTCAATGTAGGTTTCGGCTTTCAAGCGTTAGCTTAAACACTACCAAGTCGTAATATACTTTGTTGCAACTCCAAAAAAGGCAACGCGAAATTTGTGGAGTGAGTGAAACAGATACTTGTATGGTTTTTGTGATGAATGTAGTTTGGATATAAATTATAATATATAATCTATACTCATATGAATATTATCGGTTCTAATTATCTTTTAAATTAATTAGAGCATTGATTTTTAAACATTTCAGTCTACTGTGAAAGGTCAAAATTAAATATTCTGACAAAAAGCGTTTACGGACTTCGGTTTCACTCGGTCCAGTACAGTGCGGAGTGAATTAAAGTGAAACACGGTGCAACACTGTTTATGCTAAGCAGTTACAAGCCAAGACATGCATACTACTGGTGGTGTGCTGGTGTGAACACTGTACAGTGAGGTGTAGAATGTGCCACAAGGATTGGTGTGGAAATGTGGTTACTGGAATTTACGAATAAAACAATAGAATATAGGTTTGAAACAAAACTGTGAAGTGTTTTCAAATGTACAATGTAACATTATTAAATACGATTGGTAGGTATATTGCCTACATTCTTTATCAAAATATAGTGAAAGCCTGACATGAAGTACGTATTGTATTTATGGGACTAGTTGCGGGTGTTTCGAAACTAATTAAATGGATGATTTGCACTACGCTAAAATATCCTCGTGCAAAAATATGTTTCCGTAATAGTTTAGAAATGCACGGTAAAAGTGTAATCTTAGTGGGAAAATCAAATGCTAATTAAAAATATTTAATGAAATTTAGTGTTCTTACTGAAATCAAAATAGCAGACTTAAGTAATAATAGTTTATGAATCGAAAATATTTTATAAATTCCTAATCTAAATTTTATTTGCCTTAGACATACAGTACACTTAATATATTTTCTACCTAACTTTGAACTATAAGATCAAATACCAGTTCTTAGTATTATTGTCAACCTAAATCGATAGGATTAACATCATCCGCTATAAAAGCATACTTCTCTCCTAAACGAATGTCGTTATCGTGAAAATACCATTAATTAATTGTTTCTTAAAATAATTAATTCGTGCTACAACGTAGGGGTAAATAGTTTATGCACAAGATCTCAACATAAACTATGATTATGCATGAGGAAGTAAACTTTATTCATCTCGATTGCAAAGCAGCCTAATGGAATTATAACAGGCATTTATTTAAAATAATAGAAATCCATTGTTTGTAGTAATTTTAGGGCTATTGATGAGTTTAATATTTTATATTACAATTCTTGATTTGATTTGTTCGATAACAAGTTTAATAATGTGAAGTGTTCCACAATCCAAAATGAAATTGGGTGAAAACACATTAAAAATTATTAATTTCAATCAGTTAGCTAATTTGGTCACTAAAATTGTATAAATAAATCTTCTCACCATATGACTGTCAAGTATAAGGTTACATTAACGTACATAACTGTGTTTTCATAGGTTTTTATTTGTATCTACAGTTTTGCAGAGTCGACAAACATCGATAATCAAACGTAATTCTTTCCCCAGTAAAATAGAACTTATCAACACTCGACACAAATACAGTTTGTCATTTAATGTTCATAACACAATTGTCAAATTAAGGATGAATGGAACCGATAAACGCTTTGAGAAGTAGTATCGTAGTGCGGGAATCAAAATATCAAATCTAATAATATTTGGGAAGGGTAATTTATAAACAGCTGTTGATTTTTATTTAAAAAGTAGTAGGTGAACTTTATCTCTTTTGTAGCCAATGATGGGGCTCAATTTTATCAATAAGTTACAGAAGAGATTAATTAAGGTCGAGTAAGTACTGCTACTTTTTGATCCAGGAACGTATCCTTAATAACATAAAACAAACAATATAAAGATGGAATTTCCATTTCTTATTCTCAATTTGTCAACAATAATAAAATTTATGAAAAACATGATCAAATATTTTTTTATATTTACACGAGAATATGAGAATAATTATTCTCAAGTTAAGTGAATTAAAAATAAATAAGATGTTGCGGGTCGAATATTCTTTCCTATTTGAACGGATAAAAAATGTCGTTTGATTTAATTTATACGTTATAGGGTTCAAAATATATTAATTTAAATAAAACTATATTCTAATAATAAATTTCTAAAGTAATGCTAAACGTTTATCAGTGCCACCACCTTAACCTAAATAATAACCAACGAAAGCCAAACAAATGGGCAACCTTTTGGCATTTCTCTCATATTTCAACATGGTTTGGTAGAAATATTACACTTTTACAGTAAAATAATACTAAACTTTCTCCATTTTACGCATCTAGTAACACTTCCTACTCCTATTTTAGATCTAAAAGGTAAAAAACGAAAACTTTCATAGACGCTTAAAATACATAAATCACATATTTAGAATATAGCTAGATACACTTAGATAACAGTTGTGTTATCTAATTATGGAAAACAAACACAAAAGCAATTAGAATATTGTTTGGCAACGTTAAATACGTATTATTTAAAATATAACTCCTTTAACATAGTAATTGTTAGAAGGAGAACACATGTTATACTATAGTTAGAAGTTGTTACACGTACTATTTTTAATAGAAGGGATAAATTGTCAGAAGTAGTTAACCAATACGTAACAGATTTCGTAAAGTTTGTAGTTTAACCATTCACAAATCAACAATTCCTGTCCAGCGCGATGGAGTACTTTTCTTACAATATATTTTTGATATAAAAAATATGAAAATATGTTTTGTAGAAAGATATATATCTGTACATTGGTGGAGAAAATAACGAGAAATTGTAAATATAAGCTAATGTATAAACTGTATAATTTATATCGCAACAAATATCATCACAAAGTACCGAACGGTGTGTTATAAAAATATGAAAATTTACGTATTCAAGTCAGATAAATATATCAAAAGGTAAATGCTAGAAAAATAAAATTTAGAAATTTACAACAGATTGAGATGTAAGCAGATTCGACTAAGGTCTTAAGCTCATGCTAAGGGGGAAATCTGGCCCCAAAATCTTATCTTACAAGTATTATAATCGGCCGAGGTAAGAGACTGTATCTTCTACAAGACAAGAAACCATTGATACGTTCTAAAAATGAACCAAAATATTTATTTCTGTTGAGTTTTACGCATACCATCAGAGATTTTAAGTTACTATTATATAACACATATTTACGGTTAAACATTCGTTAGTTTTATTTAGTTACATTTATTTAACAAGAAAAAAGTCAAGCGATTATTTACAGACGAACAATTATAAACTCTTTGAACTAAGAAATATAAAATATTGATACTGAAACAGAAAATACGTGACACTAATCTCCTTAGACACTTTACTTTTACAAAACAAATCGATAATATATAAAACCTATAATATGTAAAACTGGAATCAACCACGATGTAGGCCGAGAAAACCATTACAAGAACAACGATGTATCTAATATAAGTCGAAAGCATGTGATTATAAACAGTTCATGAGATATGTTTGAAATGGTCGTTCAAGTTGATGAGGCTATTCTACGTTTGATTGTGCACAAGCATTTCAGATAGAACGGTACAATGAGATACACAAGTAGGCACGGACTGGGATAGGAGAGACTTATACAATCTTTAAACATAGCACTTTACACTAGCAGGAGTTGTATAATCTTGTAATACGTACTAGTCTATTTTAAGGATACGGAGTGAGAATATTGCAAAAACATGCCCAGCAATAACAAATGGTAAACTGCAATTGGATTGCATAGATTGAGTGAGGCTTTAGTGGATTTGTGCCTTGGATTTGGTAGGGTCAATTTGTGTTTTAAATCTATTCACCTGTACAAAACTCATCTTATAGTTTACAAGACTTATATAATTTATTGCCATTGGCTGGACAAAAAATGTTTAAAATTCATCATTACCGTACAAATATTTAAAAATTTGAAAATCCGAAAAAAAATATTTCATCAAGTAAATTAACTAATTGCTAAAGTTATTTTCAGTCAGCCTTACTTTGTTATTCATCGAACATAAAAAATATTTTTATATTTTTCACTAAACAAACTGAGTATTTGCTATCGAAAGGCTACCATAAGGTGCCCAATCTTTGTTTTAAATGTTTATAATAGAAGACAATTTATAAACAGCTATCAGAATAGATAATCAATACTACAAATACAAATGCAAATGGATAGCTAAGTTAAAATATTCGTTCAATATATTTTGTCAACATTTGAATGATGTGGCAGTATTCTCACTCCGTTCCACTTGGAGAACTAACAACTGTCTACCCTAACATGTGACTGTCGAGTCTGGAGACTCTGGAATGCAACAAGGGTCGGTCTAACCTAACAAACACACTTGCTATACACATTGAACACCAAAGTCACTGAGTCACAAACACCGACTTTAACTGAAGAACTTATAACAATCCGTCCATATCTCCGTTCACCGTGGACTTGTATTATCCACAAGGGGGAGCGACGACATAGAGAAAGGGAGACAAACAAATAGGAAACATCGAGAAACACACAGAGGAAAAGAAGAGAGTGCCATTTGTGCTGGAGGCTGAGTTGTCTTATGTACAAATTGTGTATTTATCAAATCGAACCGTGTTTGGTGGCAAAGACGTTTATTTGGAAATTATGTTGATGAAAAACGGTACAATGCCGTTATTTATTATAACTAGCAAGTTAGGTAAGTGGCAAAATGTTATGAAAAATACAACAAAATATTCTCATGTAATCGTAAATGTTAGAAAATTCAGTTTTAAGTTTTCTAACGGAAAATTATAACTTTGATGCATACGAAATATCACGCGTACCATTCATACTCATTCATACTTCATACTTCATACTTCATTCATACTTTCAGCATAGATGAAGTACTTCATCTATCAGTCAGCATCTATGCTGAAAGTATGAATGGTACGCGTGATATTTCGTATGCATCAAAGTTATAATTTTCCGTTAGAAAACTTAAAACTGAATTGTCTAACATTTACGATTACACGAGCATATTTTGTGCGTATTTTTCATAACATTTTGCCACTTACCTAACTTGCTGAAAGTATGAATGGTACGCGTGATATTTCGTATGCATCAAAGTTATAATGCCAGTAGTAATAATAAAAAAAGAAGTGAACTGAGATTTTGACCTGAAATAAATGACCAACTAGCAAACAGTAATCAAGGTATACGGCGCTGGTTTACAAGATTTACATGCAAATGAAGCAAAGAGTGCCGCACCGAACCTGAGTACCCTCCTGACCAGGGGATAATTAATTATCTACTGTAACAACCCTTACGTCCCTGCTTGGTAATCATGTTTAAAAAAAAATAATGAGTAACTATATTTTATTTTATAAAAAAATTACAGTACAAATTAACTGTGGGTTTCGTAAAATGTTTAATAGGCTAAATTTACAAAATTACAACTTGTTGTCAAAAACTGAATGACTGTTATTTCTATTAACGGTTTTAACAAAGAACAACATTTTGTGATCAAAAACCTTAGTTTCACGTAAAAATCATAATAATAGATGCTCGTTAGTAAAATGATTAATAATAGTGTATCGTAAAAAATGTGTGGTGAATTTTTGGTCATGTATGTAGAATGTAGGTGCAAAGAAGTGGGACGAAAGAGAAAAGGAGGGAAATAGAGATAGTGATTGAGGTAAAGAAGAAATATAGAGTGAGGGTTGACGATGGGAGAGAAGGGGGAAGCAACAAGTGAACATGCAAAGCAAAGAAAGGGTGAACCTATACCGGGGTCTTGGGTAACTTTCTCCTGGTTGGCGATGCGGGTGACTTGTCTACTTCTGAATCTGAAACAGCCAACATCAAACATGACACTAACTGTAGTGGTTACAACTGATAACACGTCACAATCAGTAAGAGATCAAGTAAAGAAGTCCTCTCATCCCTCTAGAGGTTGATACACCTGTAGGTTATTTCACTGAAGACAACCCATTTTTATAGATAAGTAGCAATTTCTTTAATATTAAAACGGAACATACTGGAATTAGCCACTCACAATTGAGTTGTAGTCTGAAATTCTAATCTCTAAGTTTTGCGACAGTTAATGCGACAGAAAATATGTTATATTTTTCAGTAATTTTTTCTTTGAGTTTGGCTTGGTTTGAAAAATGTGTATATCACATAATTCATAATTTACTGACAACACACAGTCAATTTACTGACAGTGTCTCAACTCAACAACGAAAAACTCAACTGGAATATAGTTCCTCTTATTCTGCACGATTAATTTCAAATACTGAGCCCTTCTTTACCTGTAAAAGATCTCATTGGTATGTTATTGAGATTAGTATGCTAATAAATATAAATAGATTTGATGAATTTAGTTGTGCTCCTATTATGCAAGTGAAAGTGCTATAATAAAAATAGAAGTTAGCTAAGCAAACAAATTTCAACGCAAACCTTATTTGTTACAATATTTGGTTGAAATGTGAGCACGGGAGACTTATAAGGTATTTCTTTCTTCAGAAAACATCTTTCAAACCGACTTTCAGAAGATAGCATTACGGAGATAATTAATACCATAAACTAATTGTTTTGTAAATTATATCTAATATATTATATTAGATATAGATAAAACACCTATTCATGTAGCTGTTATCTCAAAATAATTACTATATGTACCAGCTGACCTAATAAGTAGTGTGATACAAGAATGCTTCTCACCTAACTGCAGACCAAGACCCTCCCCAGAGTTTTTCCTCGCAGAAACTGGGATTGGTTCATCCAGAAGATCGCACATTCGGCTAAGAAAATTGATAGAGAATATTTAGTTGGATTATAAAATAAAGATGTGTGGTCTAATGCATTACTAAATACTTATAAAAACAAAGGGTATTAAAGAGTTTTTTTTTATTTTAATATTTTTTTACTAGAAACAACATGTTAAGGAAACAGTGAGTACAGTTATGGCACATGATATTTGACTTGTTATATTCACATTTCAATACAACTGAAAACTTTTGAGAAAACAGTTAATTCTGCTGGAAGACGTTTAGTGACGTTATTCATCTAATTTCACGGTACCAAAACACAATAAAAAGGTTTGATCTAAAATTCTAAGATACGTCTGGAATACTTACAGGTCCATGCAATGCTCAACAAGTAGGTCGACAGCGTCGCCCGTCCTGTCCATGATTTGACAAACGTCCTCGAAACTGCGGTCTGTGAGACCCACTCCTCCCCATTCCAGCACCTGAAACCATGCCAAACATCCCATGATTTGACAAACTTCTCGAAACTGCGGTCTGCGAGACCCACTCATCCCCATTCCTGCACCTGAAACTATGCCAAACATCCCATGATTTGACAAACTTCTCGAAACTGCGGTCTGCGAGACCCACTCATCCCTATTCCAGCACCTGAAACTGAAACTATGCCAAACATTCCATGATCGAAACTGCGGTCTGCGAGACCCACTCAAACCCCTTTCCTGCACCTGAAACCATGGCAAACATCTCATGATTTGACAAACGTTCTCGAAACTGCGGTCTGGGAGACCCACTCCTACCCATTTCTTCACCTGAAACCGTGCCAAACATCCCATGATTTGACAAACGTTCTCGAAACTGCGGTCTGGGAGACCCACTCCTACCCATTTCTTCACCTGAAACCGTGCCAAACATCCCATGATTTGACAAACGTTCTCGAAACTGCGGCCTGTGAGACCCAATTCTCCCCTTTCCAGCACCTGAAACCATGCCAAACATCTCATGATAGCATGATTTGTGTGTCTTTTTAAGTCATTACATTACAGTCTTATCTGCCCTATGCAAATGAAGATGATTAAAATGGAAAATATTCAGTATGTAGGTGTAGCAAACAGAAATTAATAGTTTTACTTACACTCTCTTTCACTAGGGGAGGAACATGAACTAACCTATCATATATCCCTTTCCACCAAACATCCACAGTAAGTTTCAGTAATTATTAAAAAAGTATTTGATATAATTTACCTAAATTATAATAGAGGAAAATGGTTTTGATGTAACACAAGACTAAAGAATTATCTCCTTTCATTATCTTTGTATTCGTTGAATGATTTTTTTTAGTTTAATATGCCTTAAGTAATAATTTAAAACAGACGATTTAATTTAATTTAATTTTGTTTAGTTTTCTTAAGCTTATCTAGTTTTGTGACGATAATAATTGTTTCAGCGATAAGTAAGGCATAATTCATCTTTATATTTATTTGACTCTTTTCACTGTATAACAACTTCCTAACATAACCTTACCTCATATTACATAATCCTGCTAAGATGATAAGGCTAGATAATAATAATAGTTTGTGTTATTATAGTAGTTAGAAACCAAAGACCTTTGCAAAGTAATATTTACAGTAACCTTGCTAAAATGTATCATATATAACAATGCACTTAGTGCTTTAGTCTACTTAAATGCACGTACCTTGTCCCCCTGTTGAAGCCCCCCTTTCTCCGCAGGCCCACCTGGTACAGTCCAGACTATGTAGGCGAACAGTCGGCCATCTGGGCCGGTCTTACCACCTACAACTCTCATACCAAACCCGCGAGCTGAAAAACCCAGAAAGATTTTAGTTTCTGACAAATTGAAAACACGTTATAGTGAAAAAATGTTTATAGTTTTAGAGTTTTCATTCTCATTGCTTTTCATCAGCAAATATAACTTGAATACAGTGTTATTTTGACATATAAAAAATATTATCTTATTCACCAAGTAGGACTAAAATGTTAAACACTGGTCAAAAACACCAAAAGAATATAACGAATACAAAATGCATATACATGTAAATTGTTCAAAAAAATTTAAAACAAGCTGCAACTGATAGGTGGCAAATCTATGATTGCAGTCATCGACTGGTTCTAGGCTAGGCGATACAAACAACATTGTAGGGATTGGCTGTATTGGTACCACAGGACACCTCTCTTGTTTGGATGTCGTACAAACAGATCCGGTAATTGGTTTGAGCCCAATCAGTCCCGATGCTGCACTTCTGATTATACAACTCGCCTTTGCTTGTTTGTTTCGACATTGGTGTGAGGTTTACATTGAACGTTTTCCCATCACAGTTTTGTGTGAAGATTTGTATTCTTCATTTTCTTCATTTTTAGTTACAAATGACTGTCAAATAAAATTTCTGTAGTTCGTTTATAGCATGAGAAACAATGTTGTTTATTATCCTATCCTACTAATATTATAAATGAGAAAGTTTAGATGTATGGATGTATGGATGTGTGGATGTATGTTTGTGACAAGTGAACGCGAAAAATACTGGTCGGATTGGCCTGAAATTTGGCATGATTATAGCTCACATTCCCGATTAACATATAGGCATATTCTTATTTCAAAAATCCTTTCGGGCTCCGCCCCAGTGGCTCTGGAGTTTCCCATGTTAACATTATGAGAAATGGAATTATTGAATCTTAACAGCTGTTTCAATTAAACAAGTTGGTTCTGTTCTATGATGTTCAATAGCATAAACTACATTTTTTATGGTTTTTACATTTATGGTTGCTAATTTGCAACCAAAAGGTGAGTGAGCGTAGCGAACGAACTTCAACCTGGAGGCGAGTTAGCGTAGCGAACGAGCTCCAACCTAAAGGTGAGTGAGGGTAGCGAACAAACTTCAACCAGGACGTGATTGAGCCATGTGAACGAGATAATCTTGAAAATTAAGAAGTTAAACGGGGCAAAGCCCGCGGGTTACAGCTAGTAGAGTAATAAATGCAGAAGATTAGTAGTTTTATGTACTTCACATAAAAAAAAAAAAAAAAAAAACTCTGGACACAATTGGATTTAAAATTTGATTACACTTTGGCTCAAAATGTAGTCATGTTCCGGCTAGTACTGGATGACTATAGTATATGGATATTGTATATCTGTGAGCGTGTTTTATTTATCATTCGTACTTCGTTCAGGCCCAAAGATTGTGAGTGGAAACTAGTGGCTTTGTTGAAACAATAGGTATTTTGTTCAACAACGTTGTTGATAACTTAATGAGATATAAATCCTGTCAGTCTCCATTTTCCAAATAAGACATTTCAGAATGAATCAGCCTTGCCCTATTCTTATTGGTGAAATACTTTGCTTTCACGGAAGAACCAATAAAAGCACGGCAGCAATCCTATCCATCTTAAGCGACGTTCATCCATTAATCTTTGGCAGTGAAGGAGGAGGTTTCCAGCAATCTAGTGACATGCTCTTGCACTTTCATACCTAACGATGAATGGAACATTTTTTCATTGTGTAAACCATGTAACACGATTAAAGTGTAATTTAAAAATTAAAAACACTAGGGCAGATTTTTAAACTCCTCCTTCGTCACATTTAAATTGGTTTTTATGACATTGAAAACGTTGAGTTGAGATTAAAATTTTTACAAAAAGTATGCTTAGGAGAAGACGAAAATTTGTTCTGAATAATTGGCTTGTAAATTAATACATATACACTTTGGACGATCTGTTTGAGAGTATGAGGTCAGGGCCAGTAGTCCCTACAAGTTTAAGTGGTTTTGCACTTGTCAAAGGTGTCAATTTTATGTTAAATAAACACTAATTTTTATGCATGCAATTTATTGTAAAATAATAATAATAAAATTTTAAAATAAATAAATAAATAAGTTTGGCGAGTGATACATGGTTTTCTGTGTTAAATTAAAGTGTTGCTTGATCGTAGTGTCATTTTTATTTTGGTTTGATTTTTTTGTCTTCTAGGTTAAGTTTTTGCCTTTTAGCAATGTAGATTGTTACTTGGCGAAATAACAATTGGAAATAAAAAATAATGTTCACAATGCAATAATACGAGTAGTACTCTTAACATTTCACATGCCTCTAAGAGATAAGGGTTAAAGTTGGAGCTGTGCAGTCAATCAGCTACAGTTTGAGTTAGATTAATCAAGATGTATGAGTATAGTAAGATAAGGGCAATAATGATCTATATAAAGGGTACCATACACTTGCAATATTGTGTTAGTAATGCTTCCATTGTTATACAACAGGGTTTATTAACTTCGATTTCTGTTTTATCTGTTCTCAATATAAATTATTTACAAATCTAATTGCAGACAGTACCGTCAATAGATGTTTTCCTGCTTAAGTCGTACAATATGACACAATGGTTACCTCATAGCAACACAATAAACCATTTATAACTATAGCAATTGATTTGAATGTAGAATTCTCACCTCAACTGCACTAAACGATGAACAGTTTAGAGCAAGAGGCAATTAGTGGGTCTCTGGTGTCAGGGTGACGGGTTATTGTCGGTTTGTTTCTACATTATTTATTCACTATTGGCTTAAGTCATTACACCTCGTTAAATATGTTTATTATAAAGTAAACAAAAATTAAATCAATTTATATTTGTTATTATGTTTTGAACGATACCACTTACCTTTCCTAACTTTGTAACTTCAATGAAGACATTTCAAACTATTGTGCAGTTCCAACATTACATAAACTAGCGAAATATTAAACAACGTAAAATTAATAGTTTTAAAGGGATTCTTATAAAGTGGAAACTCAATTGAATTTGAAACATTATATATGTTAGAATACTATACAGAAGTAGTATGGAAACAAGGTCACTGGATGGGAAGATACAAAGTGTTTACTCACTTCTATGTGCCTTATCACCAGGGTCGCGACGCAGGGTCACTCTTCGTTTGGTCCCTGGTCTGGAAGCTGCAATAAAAAAAATGCTCAGTACAGAATTTTACGAATATAAACTTAGAACACCCTATCAAGCATTAAATGAAATGGTTTATTTGCAGTTGATCATGTACATGAGATAGGCATTGTCATAGAGTTAAATTAAATTAAAACAGGTTGTCATAAATCTACAAGTTACAGCTAGAAACTAATTTGTACACATGTATTTAAATATTCATAAATATTATAAAATAGATTGTCTAAAAGCCAAGCAGTTAACTTATTTTTGAAGATTTTTAGTGTGTTGGTCCTTGCTGATTCATGTAGTTTGTTGAAAAATTTGATACAATTTAAAGATAGTATTGTAAACAAAATCTGTTGCTAATCAAGTTAGTGTTTAACACAAATATGATTTAAGTTATATAAAACGAATATATGTTGATATATATTTTTGCAAAACTCTTTTAATATTTCCTGTATGAACCGTTACAGTTGGTTTGATTCCTCCATTTCAAATAGAACAATTTAGACCCTTGATTCAATTATAAGGAATAAATATACTTTCGCAGTGACCAACTATTTAACCATAAAGGTGACCTAGCTATAATGTAGGCCTAGTCGAATGGACCACTTACAGATTGTGCTACTTTCTAAATTAAATTTCCTCTCTTAGTTTTCAACACTATATGCTGAGAGATGACGATATGAAAGAGCTCATAGCGAGTATCCTATCGGTTAACAGTGCCCACACCTTAATCAGTAATTTACACTCGACAATTTAATTCTACTATGTCCTTTTTCATTTTGAAACCGGCTTCAACTTTAACATAGGAAAGGGATCTATGCTACTCTTCGTTGTCAACAATTACAACAAGAATTAGTTTTCTAAAGTTCTTACCACTCCTCCACTCTAGACCTACTGAGGCAGACAGTGTTATATTTCAGCCCGTGAAAATGTACCATACCTAGGAAGCATCACTGATCTGAAAGTGTCACTCGTTTGCACATGTTTTTTTACAACTATATATACTTGTTGTTGTTGTTGTTGTTGTGTGTTGTGTGTTGTTGTTGTACCCTATATATGCTTGTTTGTATATATACATATTTTTACCCTATATTGTTCATAACCCTACAAACTGGCATTTGGACTTTGGAAAAATAAATGAATATCATTAAAATAATTAGATTATTATGCAACGTAAATTTGTTTTTTAATCTAATTACAACTTGACTAGGGAACTGGATGTGTACTCACGTATCGCAGGCTCGTAGTCGACGTCGTGTATCACAATCTTGATGGCTTCCCCGTCCTGTACAGAGGCTTGTCGTCGCACCTCAGGGGCGTGCTCCTCAGGCGCCACCACAGGAGCCACCCTGGCCGCCGTCACTGGGGGCGCCGATGTCTGAGGAGCCCTCACTGAGGCACGCACTCCCGCCCCACGTGTTATGGCCGCTATGTCTGGCCTGAACACCACACGTGTATGAAGCAAGGTAGGTCTACAAGGTGGGGTTTGAGCTTTGAGGTTCGAGGTTCGAGCCTTTAAATTTGACGTTCAAGCATTTTTGTTTAGTGTCGAAGTCGTGTTAAGATTTCGAGGTCAGAAGTTCCGAGATTCGAGTTTTGGGGCTTGGGGTTTGACTTTTTGTGTTTTAGGTTTACACGTTTGAGTTTGGGATTTAAATTTTAAGAGTTGGAATTTGGGATTTGCGTTGTTTAGGTTTTAAGTTGGAATTTTTATTGATGTTTTGGTGTTTAAGATGTCGTATTAGGGATTTAAAGATTTAAGCGTTACCATTTACAATTTATAGTTAATGGCTGATTGGTGGTTTACAAGTTTATGTTTAGGGTTCAGAAAATAATCCTCAGCGTTACAGATTTCATCAAAGAAAATAAAAGTGTTTTCGTCCAACGGACCTGGTGTACATATACAGGGGTGATAACTACTCTAAGATATATACACAATGATCAAGGTTCTTATCCACAAAACTGACTTTAGGATGTGCTCCTGTACTGAACATTAAAATTGTAATATATTTTCGTAAATTAAGCATTCCATTATCATGGGAGGAAAATGGGCTTGATAAATTTACTTTTGCCTGTATTCTGTTAAAAATTGGATAAGAGTTTAGGGACAAGAACGGAATAATATACTTCAAATTGTAAAATAGAAAATGATGTTTAAGAAATTATAGCCTTGTAAGTCGATAAATAAATAAGAAAAGAACAAATTTGATTCTCGTATCCTCATTGAGTTTCTCACTATAGGTTGGTATTTTACTATTCGCTGAGTTAATAATATGTCAAGCTGTTAAGTAAAGACATTCTTCCACAAATAGTTACGATTGAGTAAATATCAATACAAACTTATTTTAACGTTAACTGCATTGGAAAAGGTATTTTAGAAAACGAAATAAATACAGATTTGATTTTGTATAGAAAACATGGTTGGGAGTAAAATCGAATTAAACGAGAAAAAAGAATGCTTATTGCGTTTTGGTTGTGGACCTTTTTTGCGAATCGAATTTTTATGTATTTTCTTAAAAATACCTCATTAAACATAATTGCACAGTAGAATTAAGAAATACTTAAACGAGCTTTCAATGAAATCGGAAATTCAGTAATAATAAACGTCCGTCATCTCCTGAAGTACAAAGAGCTGTAATTCTTGCCGCATGCGATTAATAATTAAAAAGCAATTGTTATCGTATTAACAGTTCTTAAGTTGTAATGGAGTTTCTTTGAGTCGGACAAATGGCAATTTAATTTAACTTGGCACGAGATTTACCAAGTTCAATGGTAGGAAAGTCCGCGTGTATTGAATTGCGTAATTACATTTTGAGACACCCTTATTGAATTATCTGTACAACTGAAACTTTTGTATGAGACTTTGTCATGTACATTGGCTTCCCTTGAGTGCATTGTTCTACTAATTAGTAGCAGTTAATGTATCCGCGCTTTAATCCCAATATGTTTTATATTCTAAATAACATCTTAATTAGCATGGCACGTGTATTTGCACGTGTATTTGCAGGATGTAAATTAAAATACATCAATATGCACATAGACGTATTTTGTATTTGCCCAAGTTTCAATTCGATGACCTAATATCAAACTTGAGCCCAAACCAAAATACTAAAAAAAAACTATGTGAGTTATTTTTCTAGTTTTTAAGCACATTTTAGGCTTGTTAATTACTAACAGTATTCAGTATAATTGTACATGTACCTACAATGTGTGGAATTGTATTTTGGAGTGCTAGAAGCGGAAATATTTAGTTTTCAGTTGTAGTCCAAAAAATAAAATGCAATACTAACATTTATAAGAAACAAACATAGTAAAACGCAAACTTACAGTTGTGAACCTCTTCTACGGGCTCTCCTCTCTTCGTCCACAGCTAGTGATGGACCTCCTTCGGGAGAGAGCGGAGACGAAGCTGAAAACGAAACAACCAATGCAATATGGTGAATAAGGTAAACAATTAATTATTGTGTTGATTTAGGCATTGAAAAGGAGAAATCACAGCTGACTCTTATTTGGAGCTCCGTTTTGGATTCTATTAGTTGCTACTTTGAGTTAGGCAACTGAATACCGTTATGACAATCGCTGTTAGGCAAAGGCGACGGTGCTGCTACCTCGACTAGACACCACAAACACCCACGTTAGTAACCAAAACAGTATACCACTGTGCCGTGTGTATGTGCTCAATGCTCAACGGCACTGTTTAATTTGTTGCGTGGTTGGTACTACTGGCCGCGTCTGCTGGACGTTCGTCGGATGACATTTTGTGGCTCCCGTTTTTCAGACTTTGGGCTTGAGATTGTTCCAAAACTACGGGGTTTTCTTCCGGAAGAGTTTTCTTTTGTGAACCCTGAAGTTTTTACCTTCATAGGTCCCTTTCCATCATCGTCAGCATGACGTACTTTGGCTAAGAGTTTTCATACCACGGGTAAGTTGAATTCGCCAGGCCTAGTCCTCGCTTATTTCATTTTGTTTCATTTTTCACTGTTTCACGATCGTTCAGAAATGTTTTATAGAGCCATTTTGATATTTATTTCTGTTTTCTGAGAGTTTCGAGTCCACTAGATAACACAATGTGCATGCCTCGTTGAGTTAACTTTGTCAGTACAAGTGATATTAAAAGTTGAGCCAATTTTCATGTTTAAGGTTAAAAGACCAAGTTAAAGTGTTAACGTCATTTTTGTGTAATTTTTGAGTCATTTTGTGTAATTTCTGTGTTTAACTGTGAGCTGGTCTGGACCCAATCATGTCAAAAGTTTCTAGGCTAGTTCTAATTTTGTTTGTGCTAGTAACTTTTGCTAGCCTAAATTGTTGCTCTGGTCAATTACAGTAGCCTAGCCAAGATAATAACTTAAATATCCATTTTGTTTGTCCTAAACTTGTGAATAGTAAGCAAGCACATTCATGCACTTTTATTCATGTGAGATCATGTTACCTTTCTCTAGAGAACCATGTTGATTAGGCTAGACTACAGAACAACTTTGTAAAAATGTGGTCGCTGACTGCAGGTAAAGAGAATGTTTTACGCCCTTTGAATTATTCAGGCCTAGTGCAACCTAAATATATGGACTCCGAGACATGTTAGCTTAATTAGGCCAGGTCAGTGATCTATACTTTGTATCAGGGTCGGCGACTTCCACTTGAAACCTGCCACCATTAGAATGCTAACAACTGCACCACGATGAGCCTTCTCCCGGGCGGATGGGACTGCGTCACACCACTGACTGTGCACCACCACCCACTGATGGTGACACCTACGCAGCTAGGCCTATGTCTACTCCGGCCTAATACCGTGCTGCAGTGTCTGGGAAGCGGCCACCATGTTCTCGGCCTACTTCTACTTCCTGCTAACTCACCTGGATGCCAGCAAGGTTTTACGGTCAGGTCAGTCCAGCCCATTTGGAGAGTCTCATCCATCATGAAGAAATCTCACTCAACATAGGCTTTTATTTAACTTATATAACAAAAATCTGTAATCTTTTTACCTGCAATTTAACTAATTAGTCTTTCCTCTCTAAATTTACTTACTTAATATTTTATTCAAATTTTAAATTCCTTTTCTTTTAATTCTGTTTCACACCCCTTGATTGAGGGTAAAACCCTTTTTTTTTGCCCTTGACGGTTAATTTTAACCGCTTGGAATATATTTTTGCGAGGCGACCACATTTGTTGATATGTGTAAATGTTTTTCATGTTCGTTTAAATGTAAAAATTATTTATTTTAATGTAGGCCTAGGACTAAAGGCATTAAATTAATTGTTTTAAATGATTTTTATAAGGTGGCCACCTAAGCTAATTTGTTTTAAATTTGTTTGAGTTAGTATACTAAATGCTTTTGCAAAATGTCACTTACGCCTAGTGTCACTTAACTCGATTTTCATTTTTAAATTAAATTGTATTTTTATTAAAGAAATTTTTAAATGTTTTAAAAGCTTTAACTTAATTATTATCTTGGCTAGGGCAATGTGTTATTTATTATTGTTATTTAAGAATCATTGTTGCATTTATATATATATATATTAGAATGAATAAATTTATATTTGTGTCCAGCCAGCTCTTGTGTTGTTATTGTTGGTCCTCCACCTCAGCAATATTGTGCCGGAATCCCACCATTGATTTTGCGCTTCCAAGGGCTTCACCCTTTTGATCAATGGAGTTGGGAATTCGGTTACACCACTGAATGTTATCTTCGATTAACTGTATTCTAATATAGGTTAATGAAATCTCACACACGGTTTTTAACAATAAAATGCAAAATTTTATGGTAGATTTTGAGCATTATATATGTGTAATATATACTTAGCAGATTAACAATTACGAATAATGCACGTTAAATTAATAGCAAGGCGAAACCATGTATCTTTCTGTTAAATTTCTATGAATAAATTAACATAATTTACAGTTATAGCCAGAAACTTTTACAAGGACTTATTAAACTCATTTCTCGCAAATATATGAGCATGCAAAGTGAATAAATCCATAAGATGTAAAAAAAAGTTACGCAATCACTATTTATTATACAGTATAGGTAACAGTTAAACAAAATAAATTGATCGTTTAATTTTATAAGATGAGTAATGGGAAAAAATGGAAGGATAAACATTACTTTATATTGCAGTTTTTCATTTGTTACCGTGGTGACCAATCAATATCATAATAGATTTGTCATCCCTATGGGACAGATGAAGCCATTTTTATTGTTAGGTCTGTACGTCGGACTGTAGAGGTCGTGTTTTGAAAAAAATATTTTTCTTGTTTTTTAAGTAATTTAAAACCTCTTATGACCAAATAAAACTATATAATCATTAACCGTAACTGGTCTCCTAGTTACATAACTAAACAGTAATTAATCATTAAAATAACCAAATAACCCTAAAATAATAGAAACAAAATTTCGTCTACACTAGCGATCAGTGTCAACGTACATGAACTAGACACAAAAAACAAGCTTCAAATTTACAATGTGATGATAGGTCTATCGGAAGCGATACGTGAATTTTTGAATCTTCACGGGGTTTAGTGTGCGATATGGACTACAATAGATCCATACAACAAACCCATATAGTGAGGTTCTTTCGTGTAAAACTTTACCTCAGTCACGTTAGTAGTTTCGCATTTACTCGGACAAACACACAGACAGTCAGATACACACACACACGGTAACCACAACTCTCACTAATAATTACCGCAGTTTTAGTTATTTATAAATATATAAATAGATAATTAAGTTTTTAAATATCAAAATAACTTGTGTAACAAAGCAAAATAGTTTACTAAACAGTTCAAAAATTTCAAATAGGAAATACCTCATAAATTTAGGGTTATTAAATCATTGTTTTAGAGGAAAGTTTTAACTAGGAAACTCATTCTCCCCAAAAAGGATTTCGTTGTCTCAAATTAAGAGCCATAATTTGCATCGGACGTGCGAAGCTGAATAATGGATTGGACAATAAGGTTGAAAATCTTCACTCTCCCTGCAAATAATGAATTATTTATCTCTCATTTGAATATGCGCCAGACACAGAGTGCATCGCAGCCCACTTGGAACTCTATAGAGGGCTTGGCGAAACTTATGAGGAACTGGAATATTATTAGTTCACATTTTTTGAGGTAATAATGTTTTATCAACTCAAACCGACATAGTTACTAAATAAATTGAACTAACACAAATAGTAAAATGGATGTTGGTATTGGTGTTTTCATTGTTGGGTTACTGTGATAAAACATTATTTTTTGACCTAGGACGCACAAGCCCAGGATTTTTTTAAACATTACTTCAGGCTAGAGCTAGGGGTTGCGGCACTATCACTTAGATAAAATCCATTGATGATTTGGTGGGATTTGAACCCGGAACCTCAGGGACCGAAGTCCCGTGCTCTAACCACTAGACCAGCTCGCTCCCCCAAGTGCGATTAAACATTTAAGTCGTTTGTATTACACTCGATGGTTTTTAATAGTATAAAATTGGCTATTGAATAGTTGTTGTGCGACATATTTGCATCTAAACAGTAAAATTAAGTAAAATGATTCTATAATAACGACATACATAACACAAAATCACCACCACAAATGAACTCTAAATAGATAAAAAGTGTAATTTTCGTTTCAAATTATACAATATTTGCAGAAGTTTTTTCAAATTTTGCTTTAGTGTAACAGTATAAGAAAACCACACTAAAAAAAAATAGAGGCCAAAAATAACTGATAAGCAACTTACATAGCTAGACATAGACAATATTTTCATTGATTCGCAATTTAAAATCTTGTTCCTTGAAATCACTGAATACTTTAAACAACACAAGAAATTAGGACAGGATACCAGTGATTTAATTTAAATATTAATTACTTTAACATATAAATGTTTACTATTCTTTGAAGGAAATATCAGTTGACGTTTGAAAGAAAATGGGCAAAATAGAAGATGTGAAGCCGGATCCACCACGCGGTATTTCCCGACCAATTTAACCGCTACGAGCGCAAACACCAATGAAGATCACATCATCTCCAATGGATTTCAGCCTTTCTCCAGACAAATTGGCAAAGCGATATTTCCCCGATACTTTTGTAACTAATTTCGTTGAAAACGCTTTCCAACATCATCCCTCGAAAACCAATACCAAACTTGATCGTAGCTTTTTTGAGAACTGATTTTTGTTTAGTTAGACTGTCTAATGCCAGCCACGATAGTTCTTTAATAGTTTTAAGGTTGTACAAATTCAGTCTTAAACGTTAGTAGAAACTGAGAATACTTAGTGTTCTATAGCAATCAGAAGGCGAAAGTTAGATTCTGAAAAATTCAGAAACCTCTTGATGGCTCAACACTGATCTCAGTTGTTCTATGATCATTGGGCTTTCAATAAATATTCTTGATAAATAACGATCTGATTTTATTCAGTGGCAAAGCTGTCATCTTGTGAATTGAATCAAATTGAATACACATCCTTTACTTATATAAGCATTAAAATACGCATCCTATCGTTTGTATTGTATACATCTAACCTAACCTAATTGCTAGTGAGAAGGGTTGGACTAAAATACCAATAAAGAGTACATTCAAAACATGCTGAAAGCCAAAAGTATCTATTTAGCCTATTTAATTAGCCCAGTCAGTCAGTCAGGATTACAGTCTGTCACATTGGATGTGTTTCGCCCACAATTACAATGGACGATCGATTACATACAATTGACAATGTATCTGATGAAATGGAAACGATTTGTCCGGTATTGATGTGGGAAATCATTTACACGTAGTTTGATTGCTAATGTATTTAGATAGAACATTTGGTTTTATTTGCACGCAGAGAATTATTGGATGCTATTAAATGCATCGAAACGTTGCAAATTGGTGTTTATATTTGGTAAATAACATTGTCTACGTTCGATTTGATCATATAAATACATTTTAATACTCCAGTTTAGTATTAATCCAACAATAATAGTGAACTAAGTTTAATTTAGTTAGTTAATTGTAGAAATCGAAGCTGTAAAGCCAAAAATAAAGTTTGATAACTTCATAAATGGATAGGACTTGTTAATGTCGTGCCGACTCAATATTGTTTAAACTTTTTCCTTGATACTTACCGTATGCATACCGCTAAAAATGCAATATTCTAAAAAAAGAAGTAGCTTATGACAAATGAAAAATTGCAAGTGTTTAATGCAACATGTAATATGCTTAGTAATGGTGAATTCTAACCAAAGTCCTCATTGAAGCAAAACTATTCTTCACGTACAAGGGATTTAAACTCAGGATATTAGTATATAAGTAGCCTATGTTTTTATCTAGGTGTATAATATCCTTATGACACAGCCGACTCTCAAGGGGTACTGTAGGCCTACGCAGACCGAGCTCGTAATATTAACTGATAAATCAAAATACTTATCGTCTGTTTAAATGAGATATTATACATTTTATTTATGAATTAAAAGGTTAACCGAAAGAACAAAACAATTAACTACCTCAATGTGAAAAGCACATTTCCAAATTTTTTGGTATACGTAGGAGAGTTAAACGAAATTGGAAATAATGAATACATGTTTGAACTATTTGCTTTCGTGGTCAAAAATTTTAAGGAATTGTAGTACTTATAGATTTAAAGTGCCACCTTCTTGAGGAGCGAGCTGGCGTAGTGGTTAGAGCGCAGGACTTCAGTCCCTGAGGTCCCGGGTTCAATCCCCGCCAAGTCACCAATGGATTTTATCTAAGTGATCGTAACCCCTAGGTCTAGCCTGAAGTAATGTGAAAAACAATCCCAGGCTCGTGCCTAGCGTCCTAGGAAAAAAAGTGCCACCTTCTTAAGTCAAATAGTCCCTCAGGCGATAAAAAAATTATGATAGTTTTAAGTAAATAGTACATATCAGTAACATACGGGACATATCCTGCATATCAATAAATTTCACAAACCCAAATTATTTATTCACACCATGATTCTCAAATAAATTCAGAATTATCGTCTCTATTCTGTTTCTTCCGCCTTTCATGTTAGCAGGAATATTATATACCCCTAAAATAATAACTTACCTTTTATTTAGTATTGAACCCAACGATGTGATTGTTGTATATATTTTAAATATTTTCGTGTTTTAACGATATTGATATTTTTTAAATTTTTTTGTAAGTAAACACGTTGGTCCTCTTAATATACAACACCCAATGACAAATATTTTATTTCAGGCTCCACATCTGGGTCCCGAAACCTTGGAGGCAAACTAACGACATGCATATCTAAAGGCGAGCGCTATAGCCACTTCAACAACCAAAACAGTCAAAGTGTGCATCCAATAATGGAGCCACCAATTCCTTAACGTATTAGACAAAATTTCATTTTCCTAGGCAATGTTAAACTTACAAGGCTGGTCATCAGGCTCTGGGGCTGGTACTCGGAAGGAGGATCTACGACCGACTCCTGGACCAGCATTCTGGACCAGAGAGGCGGGGTTGACCCCTGGACCATCCCCCCGGGCCATGAACACATCGTAGGCAGAGGCTCGTCGTGGCAACGCCGCCGGCAACCCTGAGACACCATACGATCGGTAAGACAATTTAATTAAACACTTCAACATGCTATTCGTAATATGTTACAAAACAGAGTGATATAGAGTGATATTACTGCGTTACTTTTAATTTGTATGGAAAGTTCTTAGAACATATGATTTTAGACCCAACATAGGTTCATATTAAATTACCATCTGCAAAAGCGAGGAGCCAGGAATAGACATGATACTCCAGTTATTGATCTTCATTAATCGAGTTATCAACCTCTTGCTATCTCCGAGATTGGTCTATTAGGAAGTTGAGCCGAATTGTAAATATTAATTCAAATCATTAAAGTTATGTAATAAAGTAACTAATAAAGTATCGTAGCTTACTCACTAAGGAGCCTCCTTACTATTATAGAACTTATTATTATCAAAATTTACGAACATCATTTATATACAATTCAGTTTTATCCTGTTAGTTGAAAGGAGTCATTAAAGTAGTTAAATCTGTGATTCAATACCACGTATCTCTCAGGACATATACTCTGATATTAAATACAATTGTCACCATTAATCTGTTAATCCACCAGGAGTAACATTGCTTTTGCATATCTGCAAATGCAAATTGACGGAAACAAATTTTTACCAACTAAATTATTAGTGAGGTTTAAGGGAGGCTCTGGCATCCTAGTCTGTAGGCCTTCAAAACACCACTTAAGTCAATAAGTAAACTAAACGTGTATTGCTCTTAACGTAACGGCTGATTACCATGTGAGGTTTCTTTCAAAGTAGACTACACTTAATCCTAGTATCCCCTTCAAAAGATAACTGTAATCAGTCATCGCCACAAAACACTTTCTTAACAGCCCACATTATTGAGTTAACTCCGTCACTTACCTAGACCAGGGTCTCCAGAGGCCGCTGTCGTCGCCGCCGGGCCCCCAGGCTTGACATCGTCGTCATAGCTGTGCTGTTTTGTCACTCTGGACTTTCGGCGAGAGGTGGCTCGGGCGGGGGCGCCACGACCTAGCCACCTGGGGTCTGAGCCGTCATCCCCGTCTTGTTCATCGGGCCCTGTACCACGTGCAAGAAAATAGTAGTGACACTGAAAGCGATGAATTTCAATGTGGCAATAGTAAATTAAACTTGAAATCAGGGCGGTTACGTGATGAAGAGTGTATGAATAAGTTAATGTGTGAAAACCTTTGGTACTCATAAGGAATTCTACAAAATGTCAAGGAATTTCAACAAACACCTTCTTATTTAAGTTGTAAAATGTGTTTATGTATTAAATAACATCTCTACATGGTACGTGTAGGGCCATGTGGCCCTAACTTTGCCTGTATAAATAAACCATTTTAATTTAATTTCATTTCCCTCTTAAAAAACCAAATTATTTAATAAATTCCAATTTTCTTGGAATTTGAAGGACACTTTTTGGAGAAAGGTATATGACATATTGTTTTTGTTTTTTGGTAGTTAAAGGTTGTTACATCAATGTCCTTGTAGCTATTGCTAAGCAAATCATTTCGCCAGTAGAAGGAAAAAGGCCACCAGGTGTTGAATCAACCTAAATAAAGAAGATTGCAATTTAGTTTCTCCTAAAACGTAAACTACAAAAATAAGTAAGGTGAAGTGAGGCTAAACCAATAAATATTTTTTGAACACGACGTTTTTAACGTTGTGTTGTGGTGAATGGCATTTGATGTACTTGAAGAATAATTTTAATCTGTTAATGTTATTGGTCTTCTATAGTTTCTAGTGGTACCTCTGTGAGACCGTTGCTGGTGGTCCTCTCCAGCGAAGGGTCTCCTCTCTACACTAGGACTAGTAGCTCTACTGTTGCCTGGACTACCACCCCCACTGCCTCTCTTATGCCGCCATTCTAGCTCTCTTTCTCTTGCCTGTCAATGAACCATAACATTGTTTAGTTCGTGAGATTAAAAAATCTGATTGTGAAGTACCTCCGCCACAGCAAATCTGCAGACTAAGCGAATTCCCATTTGCCTGATTTGATTTTTACTTAAATCGACTTAATAACATTAAATCTAACGATTACCTTGGTTTGCTGATACAGAGACGGTAATCAAGTGTGTTATTCAGTACTGCAAAAGAGCACTTCAAAACACACAATCATTTGTTTTCAAGCTCTTCAAAATAGTTAAGAAATAAGTTGGTTTAGAGCAGGCCCATAATTAAAAAATCCCTCTCTATAAGGTGCAAGAAGCATTTCATGTAACAATTGGGGAAACAACGTTTTTAGGGTAATTCGACCCTGCTGAGTACGAATCTGCCTGTTGCCAACGCGAAATTTGAACCGGAAGTGCGGTATCCAAGATGGCGGCCAAAACTCTGTTTGCCCCATATCTCCCTTGTTAGTTGGCCTAAAATAATGTTTTAAACGTGTATATAGGGGGGTTTCAGATGCCAAGCACATTAAAACACTCAAAATTTACATAAATTAAATTTTGAGGGTATATCTTCCAAAATGGCGCCCAAGATGGCCGTCAAAAACTCTAATTTCCGCATATCTCCCTTGTTTTTTGGTTAAAATAATTATTTAGACATCTGCATAGGGGTTTTCTCGGATGCCAAACACATTGCAACACCCAAAATTTACTTACATTAAGTTATGGGGGCATATATTCCAAGATGGCACCCGAGATGGCCGCCAAACACTCTTATTTCCGTATATATATATATATCGCTTGTTTGTTTGTTTAAATTAATTATTTAAACGTCTACAAAGGTATTTTCTCGGATGTTAATCACATTGCAACACTCATTATTTACTTCCTTTGAGTTTAGATTACATATGTTCCTAAGATGGCAATAAAAACTTTATTGTGCTTACGTGAGCTCCGTGCGTATTATTGTATTTAGTGTTTAAAACCAGTCAGATATATATTAGTGGCTGAATATTTGCTACTATTTTTGAAATATCAATTGAAATTTTGCAATGTTAAATTAGAAGGCAAATTGTTTAATGTACTCTGATGGCACCGTAGATAACGCGTAGTATCAGAACCTATAATTAAGTAATTGTAGAATTAATTGAGTATGATGTTGACGAATTTATCACTTATAAATAGATATTTATTGTAAAATATGACGATGCCATACGCATGTTTTGTATGTTTTACGTCAATAAATAATTTTATTCGATTTGATGAAATTTGAACGTTTAGTCCAACAAAACCTGCAAAAATTATGTTTTAGACCATACCTCCAATCCGCAAGGGGTGGTGCATGTAAATTAAACTAAACAATGGTTCTTTATAACACATTAATAAATAATAATAAACAATCCGGTTATAATATTTACAATGATAATGTACTATTATATTGTATTAATCTTGTGGTACCACCCATCAATGGAGGTTTGTTTACCATGGGTCTCAATGGATGAAATAAATCTTTAAAAGGTTTTTTTATGGCAGCATTCTGTTGGCTGCTCTGATCAACATTAATCAGCAAACAACTCTTATTCTTTTTAATATCTTTATGTTGGCCAATTGTCTATAAAAGTTGGTTTATGAAGAGAAAGTAAACAGGTGTATACATGTGTACAAAATAAATGTTAATAAGGTAACATCTTTTGTTTTCCAACCGCCAATAAAAGTTTGTTTGTGAAGAGAAAGTAGACATTTGTAAATTTATAAGAAATAATTATTTTATGTAAGTACAATTTGTATTAAATCCTTGGTTTATTCAAAATTAGCAATAGGGAGTATTTGAACCATTCGTTAAATAATCACGGTAAACGCTATTCGTCATGTTTTCTCGTTTATTAAATGTGAAAATAACGTATTGCGTTTACCGTGATTGTTAATAGTTTTTACAGGTTCTGTTGAACTAAAAGTTCAAATAACATTGAATCAAATCAAATTATTTATTGCCGTAAAACATAAAAAACATACGTATGGCATCATTATATTTTACAATAAATATATATTTACATAACTGGACCCCTTAAATAAGTGATAAATTCGTCAACATCATACACAATTAATTCTACAATTACTTTATTATAGATTCTGTTATACTACGCGTTATCTACGGTGCCACCAGAGTACATTAAACAATTTGCCTTCTTCTTTAACATTGCAAAATTTCAATTGGTATTTCAAAAATAGTAGCAAATATTCAGCCACTAATATATATCTGGCTGGTTTTAAACACTAAATACAATAATACGCACGGAGCTCACGTAAGCACAATAAAGTTTTTATTGCCATCTTAGGAACATATGTAATCTAAACTAAAAGGAAGTAAATAATGAGTGTTGCAATATGATTAACATCTGAGAATAATTTATAAATAAAAAACGTTTTTAAAACAAAACGTTTTTAAACGGACTAAAAAGTAGAAAATAATTTATAAATATGTGGGGAGTATAAATACTTGTAACATTTAAAACGAAAAACGTGGGGGTGCATGCAATAGATAATTTACAATTCCCTTCGCCTATTGAACTAATGTATTATTATCAGTTGCATGCACCCCACGTTTTTCGTTTTAAATGTTACAAGTATTTATACTCCCCACATATTTATAAATTATTTTCTACTTTTTAGTGCGTTTAAAACGTTTTGTTTTAAAAACGTTTTTATTTATAAATTATTTTTTACTTTTGAGTTTTCAATGTGTGTGGATGTTAAATCTATTTCAAGCATCTATATCAGATTAAGACATAGGTATGAGGGAAATCTAAGGTTTATTTGAGTTCCTTTTCATATAATGATGTATTAGATTGAATGTATTTTTATACCTACTAACTATAAATATATCAATCTATTTAATTTATTGTTTACTTTATAGAATACTAAATAAATAGCAATTGACACATTTATATCTGCAATCCGATTGTTTATCTTTATTTTGAAATGTTTGTTTGTATAATGAATCTCTTGGGAGCAGAACCTGTATCTCTTAACCTCTGTTCTTCGAACTGTCAAATTTAAGTATTTACAGCTGACTTAAATTAATTGATATATTTACATTCTTTCAAAATATAAACATGAAAATTTTGGAAGCCCATGGGGCGTAGCCCAAGGGAAATATGAAAATTAAATGATATAACATTGCATTGTCATCCATTTGTGAGCTATGTTTCAAATTTCAAGTCTCTAGCTCATCAGGAACTTCGTTTAAAATGGATATCAAAATTTGTAGGAAAGCGAGCTAATAAAAACAAGCCCATGGGGCGTAGCCCAAAGGAAATATGAAAATTAAATGATATAATATTGCATTGTCATCCATTTGTGAACTATGTTTCAAGTTTCAAGTCTCTAGCTCATCGCGAAGTTAGTATAAAATTGATTGCAAAATTTGTACCGGACAAGAAAGCGAGCTAATAAAAACGTTTTAAAATACCTTTGTAGACGTTTAAATAATTAATTTAAACAAACAAACAAGGGATATATACAGGGTGTATATAAAGTCCTGCACGGGCTTAATATTTTCTAAACGACAACAGGTAAATCAATAAGATTTGGTACATCAACACCACACCTAAAAATCTACTTTTTCAAGGAACTATCAATTTTCTGTCATATCATGGGGACGTCCCACAAGGAGTCGGAAGAAAATCTTAAAAGGAAGCATAGGTCAATATGCACATCAAATGAAAGGTCTTTTTAGTAGAATACAATGCCGCAAATTGCACTTCAAAAGGTTTGTCCTGCGCAAAATGGCAGCCGTTCAAAGATTTCTTGAATCTGCCATTTTGAATCTTTGAACTACAGTACTGCCATTTTTTACCCAGGCGTTCTTTTGAGCTTGAATTTACGGCATTGTAATCTACTAGTGAAGACCTTTAATTTGATGTGCATATCGACCAATGCTTACGTTAACAATTTTCTTCCGATTCCTAGGGCTGTGCCCCCTGAGGAGTAAGCGTATAATAGCAATGTAAATTAAATGAATCTTTCAACAACACACTTTGCGCAGGATAAACCTTTCGAAGTGCGGTTTGTGGCAATGTATTCTACTAAAAAAGACCTTTAATTTGATGTGCATATTGACCTATGCTCCTATTTAAGATTTCCTTCTGACTCCTTGCGGGACGTCCTCATGATATGACAGAAAATTCATAGTTCCTTGAAAAAATTTATTTTTAGGTGTGGTGTTGATGTACCAACTCTTATTGATTTATCTGTTGCCGTTTAGAAAAAATTAAGCCCGTGCCACACACAATGTGTTCAATTAAGCCGACTTTATAATACACCCGACATATACGGAAATTAGAGTTTTTGGCGGCCATCTTGGGCGCCATTTTGGAATATATGCCCTCAAAACTTAATTTAAGTAAATGTTGAGTGTTTTAATGTGCTTGAGATCTGAAAACCCCCTATATACACGTTTAAACCATTATTTTAGGCCAACTAACAAGGGAGATATGAGGTCAACAGAGTTTTGGCCGCCATCTTGGATAACGCACTTCCGGTTCAAATTTCGCGTTCGCAACAGGCAGATTCGTACTCAGCAGGGTTGAAATACCCTAAAAACGTTGTTTCCCCAATTGTTACATGAAATGCTTCTTGCATTGCCTTTTTTTGAAAACGGGCCTAGTCTAGTTATGTTTCGAGGGTCAAAAATGAGCAAAAACTGGTTTTACTCCGTAAAATCTCCGAAAAACCCCCATAAAACCCCGTTCCCATGCTGGTTCGCGAACTTGTTTGACTAAACGTAGGTTTACACATTTGTACAAAATTTCATCAGAATCGGATGATTTTTACAACATGTTTCCATTTTAGGATGATTTGGGTAGAGGGAGTGTATAATGGAGATGACATGTGTAATTTTAATACCGTGTAAGACAAGCTGGGTAATCCAATTTATCCACGATTATTTATATAATAAGTCCAACTACCACGTCCCCTGGGTCAAGTTTTACCACCAAAAAGTTTTACTCATGACGTTTTTCTGAGCGCTCTGATATTTATGTACCTTTTAGGTAATTAAGCATGTATAAAAAAACAAGCTAATTTTTAAAACGGATATTGAATCTATAACTCCTCTCTTCTAGATGAAAATAAAGTAAAATAAGACTATAAACATTTAAGAAATCTATATTTTGGTATAACAATTATCACGATTAATTATTTTTTGAAAAACTGAATACCAACTTGAACAAATATTTAACAAGTCTTAAAGACAGATAAGTTGTGATGGTTGTTAGGATTTAATTTTACTTATTATATTTGAATGACGATTCTGATTATTACAATAACGAAGCCAATTTGAGCCAAGTACACTAGAGCAGTCCCTGAGCAGATTTAATCACGTTGTGTCAAATCGACTTATTAATTCTGTCAAGATCTTTTTTTGAAAATTTTTACTACATTTCCTTAATGATTGTTTTATATATAGGCTTATTTCGCTTTTGTGTTGGCATAAGAAACGTTTTAAGTAGGAATGAATTATAGGGACATTTTAAAGGAATTAAGGAGGAATTATAAAGGATCAATTTGGAAAAAGGGGGAGTAAGATTATACAAAACATAATGTCTTAAAACTACACTTGAATACTGTACTTGGAAGCGAACCATGTGGTTAAAAGGTAATTTAAAGTGACAAGCTTTTAGCCGAGCTCCTAAGAAGATTACACGAGAAAACACTCCTTACGACAACGTGGTGAAGGAAAGCAGGCAAAACATAAATCATTTCTTTTATACCATTTTCAGTTTTTTAAGGTTAAATAGGTCACAATTATTGTTCTCATAAAACTAGGCTGTTTGTGTTAAATTTTAAAGCTGTGTTTTTTACCAGTCTGCAGTAATCCATAAAAAATAGACTTATCAACCAAAATGAACATAAAATATGCACTACCTTCTCCTTGACTTTCTCCAGTTCCTTGAGGGACGCCGGGGAGACGTCCGAGTGTCGTCGCAGTTCCGGGGACCTCGGAGGTGCCAGACCCGAGGGACCTCCTCCGGTCACCCCCAGACTGCCGGAGCCAATCTTGACGTCACTATGACGCCGCTGAAGCGCCTCCAGTACGGGGACGTCCAGCAGGGAGTCGGTGGAGTCCTGTGCTATCACTGGCTGGGTACGGCTCTGAATCTTGCGGCGGCATATGCTGCAGCGCCATGTGTTCTGAAACAATTATCATCACACTCATTTTGGTACATCTGAGCTTTCGAAAGTTTTGATTTACAAACTATTAAAACATAAGGTTGCCTGTCGCAAACATGAATTTCCTTTGAAAGCAATACTTTGCCAGTTAAGACACAATCGAAGAAAGTTTCAGTTTCACTGAACATGTAATACCACGGACATTATAGCATAAATTCTTATTACAAGAAATATTAGAACAAAATTGTTAAAACAAATTGACTTTTCAAACCCATTCTGCCTCCTCTCGTCTGGACTGCATGGTCATTTTCTATCTACATGTATTTGTTTGTTAGAAGTAACACTTTTGCCAATAAGAAAACTTTAAAATTGTGTCTTAAAATAGCAACGTAACTGATAATTATCGATAAAAATAAAATTTAAAAGTTATGAAAGGGGAGTTTAAAAACCAAGGTTAAAGTAAAAAGATTTTCATTTTCAAAATTTAAAAAAAATTATCAATTTTTCAACTTGAATGCACTCTATAAACGAAGTTTTAACAACTTTGAATGCACTGCTTCACACACTCAATATACCAAAGTTAAGCTGAGATATATGAGGTAACAAGTTAGTTTAGAACTACTGAACTGTGCAAAGATAACTCTTATTCTGCTATCGGCCAGAGTACATTACAACTTTAACCGAGTTTGCAAGGTTCGATTTAAAATGCTATCTAGCCTGAAATACCCCTATGTGACACTATATTGTCATATTTAATATAAGATAAAAATATTTGAACGAAGCAAGTAATTCTACTATTATCGTACAAATTTTAAGCTACGTAGCTACGTTTTCTGTAAATAATGTTAAACGTTGTTTCTTAACGAAATGTTAACTGACCCAGATTTTTTATTTGAAAAGTATTGGTTATCTTGAATACTTGAAGTTTCTCAAGTTACTCATTGAGATATAGTACAAACTTTTATTCTATCAAAATTTACTGGCACAACATGTTCCTGTAATTCCATATGGTTGTACTATCCAATTGTGAATTGTTTCAAAGAGTATTCATTTCCTCATCCCTACTCCACAATTTTACGTCCAAATATCTCTACGGTGAAAGACTAAAAAGGGGTTTTTTAGTTTGTTTCCTTTATTTATCATCAAACAGATTAAAGGGTTGACAAAATTACTGTACTATAGCTTTAATGCCACTTGTACATTCCTTATCAAACCATAATGGTGTTAGTAATATCAATAGACTAATGAAAAGAAGTATTTTAGAGACAAATTAGAGTTACCAGTTGTGTAAGACATTCTAGGCGACTTTCTAAACTAAGAAAACAGTTAGAAGTTTTCACTTCATTTCAACTAACTTTCTCACAAACAACTTCCAATATAGAGGTGTATCGTTACGATTGGTAGATTTGTGTTTGCCTTGAAGTTGAACAACTTTTGGTCGATACTTCGAATAATTATTCCCAATTTAGAAACTTCTTGGAACACCAATTTAGCAAAGTAAATACTTGTTAAGATCATACTCACTTAAAATAATTCCAACAAGCCATTACATCGAGTTGCTTTTAGTCATTTAAATTTCACTCCCACAATAAAATTAGTAACTGTTTTAGTTTTGAGTTTTGATGTGCAATGGAAATAATGAAAGATGAAAACGAAATGTAATTTTACTGGCAGAAATTTCAAGACAGAGTGAATAAACGAATTACAATTTTAAGATTAATAACCGAGCTTGGCGAAGCATTATTGATCAGAATATTGCGTAATTTCCAGAACAATCAACATGAATTGGGACTTTGTTCCAATTCGCTTTCAAATATCCTCTCTTTTAATTTCCTTCAAGTCGTTTACAGTTGCGTAATCAGTAACCAAACGCTTTTAGCCCAACACAATTATCAACAAATTAAGTATTTAAGCTCATGATTTATTAAGAGTGGGTAGTTTAAGATAATGAGAGCGTTATTTCAATATAAACATTTATGTAATACTGATTTAATAATTTTTTACGAAGAAAGGCAGTAATTTATAATTTGGCAGCTCAACCTGTTAACATTGTTCAGTTGTTCCACAGAGAAACATTTTGAAAATTATAAAGAGCATATCAATCGTAAGGCAAGGAAATCGTCAGTTCTCTACAACGTTAATAGCTTATGAAAAACGGCAATTTCGCCTTTGCGGTGCTAACCCCCGCCCCACAACCACTACCACCAAATTAGGTCCAATATGTCCGCGGAGGCTTCAAACGTTATCATTAACTGTGTCAGTGGTAAATTTTTTTTGATGATGTATGTAACCTTGCGTTTTCACTTTCTACAATAAAAATAATCAAATGTTGATAAATAAAACCACGTTTCACAAGCATCACCAAAATTTCATGAGTTCAGTCAAAGCAAAATGGTTTTTACACATTTTCAAGTAATGTGTGCTAACTTATAAATAACACACATGTCCACACACTCACAATCTAGGAGCTTAGAATTCACCAGCATCCTTTGATAACCAAAAATGAAAATGAATAAAGTATTACGCTTTCACAAAGGGTAAGCATTAAAATTTTGAGACGTGGTTAGGCGCTTACAACGATTACATAATAAAGTAGGGTACCGTTGAAAACGCCGAACGTTGAATTTGATGTGTTGAAACATCGGAAATAGAAAACTTAAGTCTGTTATTTAGTTTTATATTTTTAAAAATTATAATGTGTGTGCAATGAACGTGTGGTGACAAGGACTGCGTTCTCATAATTTCAACAAGGTGAGTAATGCAAAAAAATATTGACTAGCTGGATTCAAATGACCTCACATACAAACCGTGCCGTTTAAAAAAGAACATCAGTAATAAAATCTATTCTATATATAATTCAGTTTTAAAAATCTTTGTACAACTAAATCTAGAGTTCTACTGGACCGATTTTATTAATTAATGGGTCGTTGGAAAGGTCAATTTGTGTAGATTTTCAAATAATTATGAAAGTTTGCTTTTGTTATGATTTATGGTGAAATATTTCAAAAAAACATGTTTTCCATAAGAAATACATTGAAAACGGTGTTTTTCACACTTTTTATTTTGGTGAGACTTTTGGCTGCATTTTTTGAGTGTTTCCAAGAAGTGTATGGTATCAATTTGTAGGAAATTTTATTCTCTTTCAGAATATCACCTTCCACTTTAGGCGATTTCCTCACCATTTAAAAGTTATTTGTAAAAAAGCTAAGCAACCTCCGAATTTATAGTAATGAGAAAATACTGAGTTAGGGATATTTTTTTAAAACTTTGTACAACTAAATCTAGACTTCTACCGGACCGATTTTGTTAATTAATGGGTAGTTGGAAAGCCCAACTCATGTAAATTTGCAAATAATTATGAAAGTGTGATTTTATTAACATTTTGTAGTAAAAAAGTAAAAATTACAAAAATACATTAAAAACTGCTTTTTTCAAGATTCTGTTTTCAAGTTTCTATTTGTAGCCAGCTTTTGGCTGAATTTATTAAGCGTTTTCAAGAAATGCATAGCAGTTGTTTGTAGTAAATTTTATTCTCTTTCAGAATATAACATTCACTTTGGTCGATTTCCCATCTATTTAGAAGTTATTGGCAATAATCTAAGTGATCTCCAAATTTATAGTGGTGAGAAAATACAGTATTAGTTATATTTTTGTTAAACTTTGTACAACTAAATCCAGACTTCTACCGGACCGATTTTGTTACTTAATGGGTCGTTGGAAAGCCTAATTTGTGTAGATTTGCAAATAATTATGAAAGTTTGATTTTATTACATATTTGAGGTAAAACAATGAAAATAAACAATATTACATTTAAAATGCCTTTTTTTCTAAGTTTATATTTCCAAGTTTATATTTGTAGCCATCTTTAGGCTGCCTTTATTGAGTATTTTCCAAAAATGCATTATAGTAATTTGTAGGAAATTTTATCCTCTATCAGAATATTACCTTCCACTTTGGTCGATTTCCTCACCATTTCAAAGTTATTTGCAAAAACGTTAAGCAACCTCCCAATTTATAATGGTGAGAAAATACTGAACTAAAGATTTTGTACAATTAAATCTACAGTTCTACTGAACCGATTTTATTAATTAATAGGTCACTAGAAAGCCTAATTCGTGTAGACTTTCAAATAATTACGAAAGTTTGATTTTTTTTATTTACTAGGTGAAACCCGTCAAAGTCTGACAGTTGCTGTTGAGGTTGCAAGAAAGACCGTTTGACTATAAATCAATGATAAAGAACTGCATTTTTTTTATTTGGGTTGTTCGTGATTTAGCAGTGTGCTTTAGGTACGTCCGATCTTAATAATCAATAATTAAAATGGAAGCTGGTATTTCACTGAAGGTTCTTAGGTCAAAACAAATAGAATAACGTAATTAGAATTGAGTAAATATATCTAAAACTAAATTCCATATCCAAGATATAATTAAATTTATGTTTTCTGCGATTCAGGATATCTTTAACTTAACCGATTAAAACTATCAATATCTCAAGTGAAAGCCTTTGAAGTATTTTAAGACCAAGACATATAAAATAACTTAAATAAAAGTTGAGTTACATATCTTAGATTGCAGATAAGTACCTAAACGATTATAATTATTGTTGATTCGTGATTCAGCAGTGTGCTTTAGGTAGGATTATTAAGATTGGAATCTTAATAATCAATAGCTCAAATGAAAGCTGGTATTTCATTTAAGGTTTTTAGACCAAAACATATAGGGTTATGTAATTAGAACTGCTGGAATACATCTTTAATTGAAGTAAAAAATCCAAAAATCCAATTTATATTTTTTCGTTGAGTAATACATTAGATAAATTAATAATGATGCTTGATGACAAATATATGCTTGCATAGCTTAATTTTTTAAGACCAAAATTATGAAAATCAGGCTGGTAGAAGAGCCAAACGAACTCGAAAAAATAAATTAAACTCCCATAAGAAATGTACAGGGACGCATTTTGAGCATAACTCGAAATATACGTCAAAATGTATGCTGATGATTGATGGCAAATCTGTGGTGCGTCCATACCTTTAGTTTAAGGCCAAAATTATGAAAATCGGTCGGGTAGAAGACCTTTAACCCGACTCAGAAAAGAAAACCAATAATTTTTATAGATGGCAATAATTTGTTTACCAGTATGCTTAATCTAAACATACGAAACATGTGTTAATAATTTAACAGTTTATTGTTAAATTGTTATTTAATTGATGTTCCTTTGATTAAATGTTGTTGTTAACAATTTGCATTTGTGTTTAAAGTAAGTTCCTTATGTTAAGTATGCGATTCTAATGTTATGTGCTTAATCTGTACCATTAATATTAGTGAGTAAAGTGATGTATGGATTTCACAACCATTATTTTACTAGAGACCGTTGTATTTAACCACAACGGGCTCTGTAGCTAGTCTTTTCATAATTTGTGAAAAAATCGCCCTAACAATGCGAAGATATAATACAGATGTAAACGTCCTGCTTAATCGGATTTGAAAAAAAAACCTAACTATAGATTTTATGTCTTTAAGGCATAAAGATGAAAATGAAGACGGTAAATGTTTGTCTTCTTGAGTTAAATGTATAGCCTAAAGTTTAAAGTCATAAATATTATCAATTATCAATCATTGAGATGGGGACTCCACCTATTTGTTTTCTGTGAGTTTTTAGCAACATATTATTCATGAAAATTAATCAGGGTTTACGAGGTAAGTATCTAGTTCATACATCCATAAATAATTGAATAGACAACTCTCTCGGCGGCTATTACCTCACATTAGATATAACCACAACTAGGATTGGTATATACCAACCCGGGAATATAGTATAATACTTCTCCTCTATTTATTATATATAACGTGTAAATGTTCAAACGTAAATGTAAAGATGTGGACAAAAAGTATTTTGGTTTAAATTTCTCACCGTCCCCAACACAAGCACCAAATTGTAACTGGTCATTTCGTAAAATATTTGCTTACAGCAAAATACCAATTAGTAACAATAAAAAGCAAATACTATCGCAGGATTATCAAACGTATAGCATATTGTAATTTGCACCAAAATGAAACGACATTTTAATACTCTTCTCGTTTATTGATGCAAATCAGTCTAAGGTAAAACAGTTGCCTTTTATCTTTCTACTTTAAGCTGTTATTTATACAATACGAACTATAAAGCCGTAATAATATAAACAGTGTTACTTTTGATATTGATGTCTAATTTAGTGTAAATTAGTCTAGTGAAATTGTGTTTGCTACGACGACACAATTTCATGTGATGGTCCAACGATTTCTTAAAGTAAAAATATTCATCCACAATAAATATATAAAAAAGAATCTAATTAAAACAACAACCCAAAGACAAGTAAAACTTGTAAAATATTCAACATCAAGTTTCAGATTTTGGCCTATATCTCACGTTAATGGTATATTTTTACCCTTCAATTGATTGTTGCGAGGTGAAAGGGTTTTTAGAACAAACTCGCTCAGAGTTTAACCAATTACGCAGACACCGTCAGACGTGAATGTAATTAAATTAAATCATAAACTTCATTAACCCTTTCCTTCCCCAACCTCTCCCTGATAATATAGTTATCAGGGAGATGCAGCCGTCACAATGGCCTGGCGGGATTAGTAGTTAGGCCTAATGTTGTACAGAGATAATACATTTCCAAAACTTAGTGTATTCACAATGTTAACCAATGAAATATAAATGTGCTGTGTTATTTTCATATCTAATTATTTGCGAGCAATTTTTGGTACAGCTATTTGTATCTGAGATAGTCCATCGTATTTTTCAAAACAAACAAATTTTAGTTAAGAAATAGTACATTTTAGTACCTAGGGCCGAAAATGATACCTGAAATTTCATACTTGGAATTTTTGATAAAAAGTCTCGACTTCGTATCAAACTTTAAAACCAATCTCGAGGCGGCTAAACCATTTCGGCCCGTGGTACGAACGCTATTTTTCTCCTTACTATAGGGTCTACTTTATGAACATTATTCACCACAATAATATTTCAACCTAACAGTCAACACAACTACAACTTTAAGGTTATGTGAAATATTTTATAGGGATCGGCAAAAATAGTTGCCTAGGCAGCGGTAACAATAAAACAAGTCTATTTAATAGTTTTTTTTTTATTTAATTGCAATGCATATGTGTACTACTTGTGTATTTAACTCTTTCAATGCGGTCGTCATGTTTACTCTTGAAAATTCCACTTATCTCAATGATAAGGAATCAGTCGCCGGCGACTGACCCGCACGCAATGTGTTAATATACATTAATGTTTTAAGTTAATAAGCAAACAGCTGGTTTTCGGCTCAAGGGATGAAAAAACCACCTTGGTCCCCAGATGACTTTCGTAGCTTTCGGCCTCCAATAAACGTTTGTAAAACTTCATCGCTAGGGTATTAAGTTACTCTTTTCGACCCGAGCTTATTTTTCACTCGAAAATGAGTGAGGGCTGAAAAGACACTTTTGCCCGTGTGATATTTTTTTTCATATTGCAACATTATGTAACAAACTAAGTCAGAAAATGACTCCCAGCATGATTCCAATTTCGCTAATGTAAACAAACAGCTGTTAAGTAAGTGATTTAATCATGCTGTCTATTACGATATTGTGTTTGTGTACATTATGCTATCGATATTTCAAACTGTTGACAAGACTGCAGCAATAATGAATTCTATCGATACAAAATGTTAGCCACAGACGACTTTTACTGCCTAGGGACTTGAAATGCATGTACCAACAATGGCTGGTTTTGCTGCAGTTTGGAGAAAAAATATGTTTTTATGATGTCTTTCTGAGATATAATGCAAAAGAATAATTATTGTTGATTGTGCAATGCAGAGAAATCCCTTAAAAAGAATATTTAACAAAATCCTCGATTGGGCCCTCCTTATAGAAATTAACATATAATATATCGATATTGTGCAGTTAAAGTGTCTGATAATAAATATCGCGTTAATTAATATTATCCAACTTATGACCCTAGAACTATATTCCGTTCAAAAAATGTAGGCATTTCTGAGGGGGGTTTCCCACAATATATGTTTGTTTGTTTAATGTATATGGTGCAGCTGACTGACGAGCCAACCCTCAGCTGTAGATCTATTATTTTAAAGGTACAACCAATTACCTTAGAATTAAGTGGAGGGGTACATTTCATACCATAAAAAACCTAAAGTTTTTGAACGGAGTATAATACAAATAAAAGGCTATTTATACGCCCAAAACCGCTTACATAAATCATTTTAATTACGTAAATATAATTGTACAATTCCAACAATATTATGAAATCCATATTAAAGAACGATATGTACATTCCTATCCTGATAATTAGACCAATTCGTTAATTACAAGGAAAAATGTTGTTCGGATTCCACTATAAACTGTAGGTCACTTAGTTGCCATTGGCTGTGACCATTATTCACTAACAAGACTACAAGATCACGCCACTCATCCTACACTCATCCTTCTTTGGGTTACAATACGCACTCAGTGGTGACCCCATCGTAAATAATTGATTGATTGATTATATAGAATGGCTTTCAAAACATTAGTCTCGTCCTCTATAAAAACATGTTATTGCATTAGTCTTCTGACAGAAGGTTTAAGTGTTGGGTCAACACGATGTCTGGCATTTTAAGTCAACATCTTTTTATAAATGCGTCTGTCTGTTTTACATCCACTATTATTAATATAGAACCATCAAAAACGTTTTACAATTTCTCATGATCAAACCCGTAACATTTTGATTACCAGACGAACATTGCAGCCACTCAGCTGACCAGCTGACTTACCTCGTCTTGGTTCTCGTCCTGTTTGTAGTACGACGCGCAGTCTTCGCACACCTTCTGGTGACACTCGTAGCAGTTCCTGGAGTAGTCGCCCTCCTTGAAGCTCTTCAGGCAGACGCGACACGCGCCCTGACGGTTGGTTTGCTCAGTCTTTACTCTGAAACAAGAATAATTTGTTTCCAGTTTATACCTCGTAATAGGAATCATAAACGGTAATTGAAAAGTACAATTCTGTAAACCATGTTGAGTGATTTTATTTCCATTGAACCAGGATACCAAGGTACTAGGGTACCAGGATACCAGGATACCAGGGTACCATATCAGGTGATGAATTTATCATATCATAAAAGGTACGAGGTGTCCAAAAATGTGCTCCCACATGGCTTATTGGCATAATATTAACTCTGAAACCGGAATCAGTTGTGTTTAGCAGGGATATCGTTTTCGAAAACTTAGCCGGTGATTGAAAATTACCTTTACAACCATTTAATTTGAGACCTGGAATCAAGTGGCTTTGCCTAAAGTATTCAAGATGTTCAATAGATGTTCATTGTTAGATATCCTTTCCATGTTAAGGTCGTAGCCATTTCTAGAATGAAAAACAAACGTTGTTTAACTGATCCGCCGGCAGATTGCGGTAATGTAAGTTATTGATCTGTGTCAAATATGCCAATTTTGTAACAATGCCAAAGTAACATATAAAGTAACTTATTGTTTTACTTACACAAATTACAGTTTTAGGATATAAATAAAACTTGGAGAATTTTTTTGGCTTGGCCATTCTTTGAAATGAAATCCTATAATATCAATTTTACCAACTTCAAGTTAAACGTCATCTAGTGGCCAATCAAAATTTAAAACCAAACTGGTGTTAGTAAGGTTGCTTGGAATTATCCCAGTTTTAGAAATTAGACAATTCCTAAACCCTTGTTAAGTTATATATTAATTTAAACATCCATATAGATCTGCAGCCTGCAGTAGAGCAGAGAGGTTGAGGTTGAGGCCATGCCTGCAGGACTGTCAATAATGACACTTGAATCTCAACAGTCCTTCAGTGTCTCCTCGCTGTCCTCATCTCAACCTCTCCAATCCTATACCCTGTCTTTTCCCGCCATTGGCAGTACAATGATACCAATTTCAGATTATTTAGTATCAATGGTTTAATTAAGCCACTGGATCGCTTACTACAATATTATACTTAGTAACTTTGGAGTTGTATAGTACTTATGGCAAAAAGAATTACAATAAAGTATCTTAAGCCACTCATACATAAGGTGGTATTGTATTCTAATTGTCGTCGATTGTTTTGTGTTCCATATGATCGGTTTACGGTACTCAATAGTTGTTGAATCTCCAACAATGTATCTAATGATATTAGATCTAATTTAATACCGTTTTATGTTTGCAATTAACTACTGGTATTATTAGTTATTTTACACACAATGATAATCAAATATGCCAATAAATTGCATATATTGTATATATATTGCATAAATATATATACAGGGTGGCTGAAAAGTAACTTGCACCCCCACTTAACTTTTCAACCATTTGAGATATTTGTAATCGGTTTGCGGCAACCTTCTTAGATATTAGTGGCTACAATAATCATGAACAATTTTGACATTTTTGACCTTAGGGGTAGCGGGGGTAGGGGTAACTCAAAATTTTCAAATGACAAGTATAGTCGAGTTTGGTATCATTTTACAGAACTTGACAAAACATGAACATTGACATAAAGAAAACCAAAATCGGCTCACTAATAACAAAATGGCGCCCTAAAACGATTCAAATCCAAATAACCATGAGGGTGGCAAAAAAATTAACTTGTACCCTCTTTAACTTTTTAACTATTTGAGATATTTGAAATCGGTTTGCGGCAACCTTCTTTGTTAATGAAGGGTTACAAAAATATGGTCAGTTTCGACTTAGGGGTAGCAGGGGTAGGGGGGTAGCTCAAAATTTTCAAATAGCAACTATAGTCGAGTTTGGTATCATTTTGTAGGTCTTGACGAAACATAACAATTAACATAAAGAAAATAGAAATCGGACCATTGATAACAAAATGGCAGCTTAAAATTACTTTAAATAACCATTGTCTCAATCATATTTAGCTGCCATTTTGTTATTAATGGTCCGATTTCTATTTTCTTTATGTCAATTGTTATGTTTCGTCAAGACCTACAAAATGATACCAAACTCGACTATAGTTGCTATTTGAAATTTTTGAGCTACCCCCTACCCCCGCTACCCCTAAGGGCAAAATTTTCAAAACTGACCATAATTATTGTAACCCTTTATTTCCAAAGAAGTTGCCGCAAACCGATTTTAAATATCTCAAATAGTTAAAAAGTTAAAGAGGGTACAAGTTAATTGTATTGCTACCCTCATGGTTATTTGGATTTGAAACGTTTTAGGGCGCCATTTTGTTATTAGTGAGCCGATTTTGGTTTTCTTTATGTCAATGTTCATGTTTCGTCAAGACCTGTAAAATGATACCAAAATCGACTATACTTGTCATTTGAAAATTTTGAGCTACCCCCTACCCCCGCACCCCTAAGGGCAAAATTTTAAAAATTTACCATAATTATTGTAGCCCCTCATATCTAAGAAGGTTGCCGCAAACTGATTTCAAATATCTAAAATGGTTAAAAATTTAAGTGGGGGTGCAAGCTACTTTTCAGCCACCCTGTATTGTTAACATTTAGAATTTAAAAAAGTATAGTTTTCTTTTCAAATACCTTAATTTGAAGCATCCAAATGTTCAACAAAGTCTCAATAAATATTCAGTAAACTGAATGTCCCCCCCCCCCTATTTACATTGGAAAGGGCTGCATCTGTCAAAGAAACAAAGCCTTAAACGAACACATAAGATTCTACTGTCGACAGAGGAGCCATCTTGAGCATAAATAACCACGACACAATCCTACCTAAAGGTCCCTAGAGGAAGACGGCTTAGCAACAACTACATGACTTGCATGTAACCGCATTGACGTAGAGGCAAGTAAAATTTGCCTGGACGTAAAGGAAAATTACACTGAAGTCTTTTCCTCGTTTTTGGATAACATGATTTTCCAACTATGCACATTTTAAAGGTAAGATAGGAGATATAAAATTACTGAGTACTGCATAGTTAAGTACTGTACGTTACGTGTGGTTATGTTGCAAATATGTATCGGATGCGTGTAATAAGAGAAAGCACTATTACACTGATGACTGAATAAATTAAATAATTAGCCTAAAGCACTTTGTTATTTAAATAATTACATTTAACCCAAGAGATTTATTGTTGTTTCATCTATTTACATTGTTAGCAAAACACTCAAGTAAGGTACGATACAAGAGACAATGTCGCCAACGTTGACAAGGGTAATTAGTTGTACAAACACACAGATTGATCTCAGCCAATATTGGGTAGCTTATCTAATACAAGAGTTCTATAAGCTTAACGCAAATCTTTAGGTGATACTTAATCACAGTTTTCTTACGGTTTCTAGAGAAAAGAATTTATTTATAAAAATAAACACATCTGCCTTAAAAAATAAGGTTGCCAATGACTCAGAAAAAAAAACACTGAAAATATTGAAGGATTATAACAGCTATAAGACTGATTAATTTTGATGTTTGCCATATAAATGAATTCTCATTATAGACAATGAACCTTTGAATGTCTCATGAATAATAATTTTCAAAAAGGATCTGTCCGAATCATATTGTTTCCAAAAGTTCTCAAAAATTGCCATAATGTTCCTCTAGAACCAATAAACAATCCAATCACCTCCATTTTTGAAATTTTTGCTTGAAATATTCAAAGGTAGATTCATATTTTTTTATTTTCCTCGTTTACTTCATTAGGTTGATTTAGGTTTATTTCAAATCGAATTGTTGGATCGATAATTATCCCTTTGTTTGTTTCTCTTTCGATCAATAAAATATCTACTTTTCTGGTGCTTCCGTAAGAAGAAAGACAGTGTACTTCTTCATACCCTTCCCATGTATTATACCTTTTTCGGAAAGCATTTGCTATACTACTTCTTATTTTGTGGTGCCTTGTGTTTCTTTGAAGTTCACCAAACGGACAAAAGCCAAGGGCATGTGCAAGGGTTTCAATCTCACCACAGGCATATACATTACATACAAAAATTGAAAAGATCCTTGCCTCTAAACAGTATTAAGTATGTAACGCTAACGACTAATTTATGTTTGAAAAGTGTTTTGCAACGTTTAAAGCACTGGTATTTTTGTGTTGGCTTAAAAATTAAAATGATTCTGGAAACCATTAACGAATTCCTTCTATAAAAATATAAAATAATTTAAATTCTATAAATGAGTAAATTCTGATAACCTGGTTTGTAATGTTTGATACATCACCTACTCAGTGGCACAGTGTAATGTATCATTTAATTTTTGAATGATTAAAGAGGGTTGTCTCACTTAACTATGCACTTTCTCGTTTTTTTCGCTTTGGAACTGTGTGTGGAAAAATCTAACTAAACAAAGTGTTAGAAAAAAAGTTTACGAAATTACCATATTCACAGTTATTAGCGCTGACAATTGAATTCGAACACACAGTATTGCTGTCATGGTTTAAACGTCTAAAAACTGACTTCTTATTTAGATATATTCTTATAACATACAAGCCTTCGAATTCAAACTATTATTTTAGCCTTATATTTCCAAAAGAGATGAGATACGCCAGTGCTGTCTAAATCAACGGTACGAACAGAATGATTGAGTATCTAGTGGGCCCATATGTAGGAAACACTCTGGCTGATTGCTACCATATGTTTTAACGTTGATTATAATAAACTTGTATGTGATTGAAATTTATTTGTTTTTAGTATAAAAATGCTTCGAATAAATATTACCCTGTGGATCTTTGTTTTATTAATAATGATACTTCTGTTTCAGTGAACCTTAGTTTAGAAGCATAACTATAAAAAAAAAAAAATGTTACCACTGTTTCATCTATTAAATATTAAATGCATGTACAAAAACATTGTGCAATATGTTTAATAACCTATCGATTTTATTCGATATTACAAAGTAAATAGCTAAACAAGTCTCATTTCTAGAAATACCTAAGTGAGACCGACTATTTCTATCTCTTGCGTCATTCAGTTAAGAGCAATTGACTTCCGAGAGAGTATTGACTGA